GTGACCAGTTGCGCCAGTCCCTCTATACACTGCATGCGGTATTCAATTTTCTAGTACAAGAAATCAAAAGAAAATCGAAAGAAAAGTTAATTTATCTAATCAGTGCTCTGGCGCCTAATATGGAAGTGAAATCGAAGGAAAATCGATTATGTAATCCATTTTCCATTGTCTCTTTCAATTTTCCTTCGATTTTTCTTCAATTTCCATTCAATTTCTAGATCAGTAAGATTCAATAGGTGCTATAATTATGATTTGATATTTTGTGCAGGAAAATTGATTCCTGCATGCAGTGATAGCGTTCGTCCTCCTCTTATTCGGCTATTCTGACTCCTCACGTGCTCTCATTTTCGGATCAATCACGTGATTATCTTTTCGTATATAACACTAAGTTGGCCTCTCGGATGTAGGAGCGAAGAACGCGATTGTGGGGCTGGTTTTAGGAGCCTGGAACAAACCATAATATTCTCTTCGCGAATTTGCTCTGGACTCTGGATATCCAATGGAGTGTAGGAAATAGCCATCAGTCATTTAGCTTAGAAACTTCGCAAGAAAGTTCCTAATGGATGCTTCATGTTTGTAGCGCTGATTGTAACACATATAAATCACATAAATTAGCTTCAATATTGATGCGGCGAGCAATCGTGGCCGGCCGCCTACGGTGATGCTGCCAATACCAGACTGAGACATCAGCCAGCATGTGCTTTCGAGCTCCAGATCTCATGTCTATATCCATACAAGTCTAAAGTCCTCAAGGATCTACCTATCGGCCAGCCGCTCCACCTCGTCAAAGTGACAATGGCTATAGCTCCCCATCGAGCTCTACAGATGCACGACATCTTGTGTCTCATCTTTGAACAGCTACCTCCCGAGAAGGATTTCAAAAGGTTAGAGGGTCTTTTGAGCAAGAACCCACTTCCCAGTCTCTCCCTGCCCAGTCTCCATGCTTTCGCGGCACCAAACCGAATGGCTCTCGCCCGCGCCGCTCGCGTGTGCAGAGAGTTCTCAGCACCTGCCCTCGCCGTACTCTGGAGAGACATCGAGGACCTGGTGCCACTGTTCTCTCTGTTCTCATCCTTCAAGGCCGTGTCGCCAGAGCAGGAGCGCGTACCGAGGCATGGGCCGCTGCACGAATTGTTGGGCAATGTCGAGTCTCAGGATGTCTGGGTACTACACATCTCCCGCCTGACCTTCCTTCCGTATTGATCATCTATGCAGATGCTTTGTGGGATCCCCACGGAAGCGGAGGTGGAAAGATTCAAGTTATACGCCGCGTTCGTACGCTCTGCGTGCCTCTTCAAAACGGACGAGATCGATCCGTCCGTCTTCACCCACCTCTCACACGTCAATGGTGGCAAGCCGCTACTGCCCTCTGCCAGAAAGCTCACCTTTGAGCAATCGGTTGCGTTTGAAGCCGCCTTGCTGACTCTTGTCTCCCCATCACTCCATTCTCTTAGCCTTCTCTTCGGCGTGGCAGCCTACCTGGGGAACAGAGGACAAATCACTCGTCGTGACCATATGCTCAGGACAGCGCTCGAGCGCGTATGTACCATGGCGCCTTCGCTGTCGTACGTCAACGTCAGTGGTTGGATTCGCCCATCGACGCTTGTCCCAATAGCGCAGCTCAGCAACCTTGCTACTGTGCAACTCAGTCTTGTACACCGAGTCACCGACGCAAACGGCGAACTTCTTCGTGCCCTATCCATATCGGACAGCCTCGTTGAGCTGCACATACCGCATGAGCTGGCCGTCGAAGTAGCACACTGTCGTGGCGGATTCCCCAACCTGCGTATCCTGGAGGTGTATGGCGGCCTCACGAATGTCGCATCGCTGTTCAGCCAACTGGATTCCCCTCATTTACGAGAGCTATCCCTTACCGCATCTCCACTTAATTCCTTCGAGCTACTTCCTCCTGCGCTGGACCATTGTACACGCTTGTTGTCCCTCGAGTCTTTGACCATCTCCACGCAGTCGATGCTGCTGCGTAGCTTCGCACCTCCGACTGCGGGAGAGGAGCCTATTGCGTTGACTGGTCTCCTCGCGCCCATCCTTCAACTGCGTAGGCTCAGGAAGCTGTGGTTTCACGTCAACAAGACGTTTTCACTCTCCGACGCCGATCTGCAGGCCATGGGCACGGCCTGGCCGAAGCTTGCGAGCTTCCTCGTGTCATACCAAGTCTCAGGCACTGTGCCCACCATGCGCGGCGTTCAGGCTCTCGCTCGCGCGTGCCAACATCTCACAGTGCTACATCTGCCCTGCATGGACCCCTCGCCGCCCTATGCGGCCGAAGATCCTGCGTCTTCGCGTCACGGTCTACGGTTGATGTGCGTCGAGCGACTTTCGCCTTCTATCGGAGAAGCGGCGGCGGAGCTAGCTACGGCCATCGATGTTTTCTTCCCGCGGCTCAATGTGCCCGACAGTAGATCATTCAAGATGTTCTTCGGGGACATGGGGTTCTTGGAGACGCCCTGGGCCGCAGTGCTCGACGCGGTTGTCGACGTGCGTCTGTCTCGTCGGTCAGCCTCCGGTGCAGAGGACGTGGACAAGAGGCATAGCTGTGATGCGTACATGTTGTATCGAAATCTCGCCGACAGTATCCCACTATAGCTCTAGAACCTGCCCGCAGGTCGATCCCCTCTGTATCCGTAGCTTTGTTTTTGCTGTCAATGTTGTTGTGCTGCATACGAACTTGATTGCTATTCTATTATTGTAATAACACCGTACAAGGGACTGCTCCGAACGAAATTCACTTTCTTTATCAGCCAAAAGTAGAACAAGTATGCTTTCTCAAAACAATGCAGAAAGAAAACAAGCGCTAAGTAAAAAGCCTTGCTTATTCCACGTTTGGCAAGTCAGTGAGATAGCACACATCCTACGAGCACAAAGGGGAATTCCCTGATTTATCGATGATCGTACTTCAAAGTGAACGTGTTGGCATTTCGGCGATTATTCTCTCCTAGTTTTTGGACGCGAAACGCGTTTTCCTTCCCCGTTGCGTCTACTATACTCGCGTTGTGCGCACTCGAGGTATCCTGAGATGCGTGCATATAAACACGCGGTGGAATTCTCTCTCACAGTATGCCCCATTCAACGACCCCCAAAAAACACAATAGTTGAATGATATGCCCGAACTAGAACGTATTACAGTCTACATGGACTTGCCAACTGCGTGATCGCACCTGGGACAAGATATTTGTACGCAAAAAAAATACCGTCGTCGATAGATGTCTGAGATACGGACTTTGGCTGCGGCGTTCGATCTCCCCGTCTACGACATCCATCGCTCATCCTACCGAGATGTTCTCGAAGTCGAACCATCTAGGTCATATCGACACGGTGTCTTTTGAGAGTTGAATATAAAAAGGAAGGGAGAAACGCATATAAAACACAACCAGCTAAACAATGCAGGCTGTACAACTGCGGTCAATTAATCGAAGTAGTTCATCAGTCATTCCACGGGTAGTATACACGCTATGTCCGCAACAGAATACACAGCAAGTCAATACCAGAACAGCAACCACCTTCTCCAGTCTCACGACCTGCTATTCTAAGATCCTCCGAACACCAATGCTCACATCGTCTCAGTCATTCAAAAGATAATGGTCGCCCCGAACAACATACTGAGGAGCACTACGAGCGAAGCAATGTGACCAACGATACCCATCGTATATCCGACCCGACTTCCAGCGGCTGCATTCGCAGTGTTTGTTGAGCCTCCGCTCGTGCTCGCAGGGGAGACCGCATTAGATTGTGGTATACCCGCGATCGAGGCTGCTTCCGACGACAGCACACTGGACACAGAAGACGCATAGGACTCGAGTGCGGATGAGAGCGCAGAGCCTTTGGACTTGTAGGCGGATGAGATGGACGAGTAGACGGAGGATTCGCTTGCCAGCACGGACGATGCGGCGACAGAGAACCGCGAGGCCGCTGACGACACGCTTGTAGGGTTCGTGAAGAACGATACTGTGGAAATATTATCAGACTATACCGGTGATCCCAAGGGAACCATAAACTGACCGTAGAGGCACTGGTCCACTTGTAAGTCAGATGCGAGCTGGACGTCCTGCGTGGTGCAATTATTGCGCAAGCAAGACAGCGCCCCGTCCCAGTACGCAGTTGACGTACACACACAAGGCAGATTCGCCCTATTATACATTTTAGTCTAAGTCCTGAGTCGACGACGACTGAGAAAACATACGGAGTGATACAACCGTACTGTACGGCTGCCAATGTTGTACAAGTTGCTATACAAACTCCGTCGACACCCGGAAGTCCGGTCGGTAGCGGCGGGATACTTTGAGCGCCCACCGATCGAAAGCCAAAGAGCAACAGAGAGAACGCAATGAGGATTCGTAAGAACATGGCTCGTACTGATGCACTGCAGAGAAAGGTAGAACAGAGGGATGTGCGTGCCCTCAACTGTCGAGCGACGGAACCACGGGTGCTTATAAATGACGTTCCGGCTGTAGAGAGGCTACTTCATGGCAAGTTTAGCGTCAATGGCACAGCTTCACGGAGGTGAATTCGTCCTCCATCATGCAATGCGTCAAGCTCATAGGCCATATCGTACGACTGCCAGCATATTCGAAGCCTTCTTAGTGCGCGGCTAAATGCCTGCAGGTTGCAAACCTTCAACGTGTGAAATACAAATGGGGCGGCCCCGCTGCGGCCGTGTTCGCAACCTCCTCCGGCATCAGCGTATTGAGTCATTATCCATGAGTACAAACTGCGAGCGGGCCACACACCGTAGTGAATGAAACATATCGGGTCCTTGGGGCTGCAACAAGTATAATACAGCCATGGTAAAGGTCATAGAAATAGACCTTGATGTATTCAAGAAGCCTTACTATGAGCTCTGAAAGCGACAGTAGTCATCTGTTGAACGACACGATGGAATAAAGCTGCGCGCGGGGAGGCCCGGGGTCGACTACACACGGTCACGTGGCAGAATTCTAAGCCACGTCCCCGCGACTCGGCCTGTAACTCTTCAGTATATTCACTATCTGCGTGCCCTGTTTATGTCCATGTTGTACTCCACGTCTGGTCGTTGCTATGCTTGTCGGACCGATCTCACCGCGATTGTCTCGTAGTGTGGGCAGTGAATTCTTCATGCGACAATCTACCTTCATTCATATTAGGCTGTACTGCTCTGCTGCGGTGGGGAGAGGTTCAATTGCAGACGTTGGCTTAGCTTTTTTCAATCAAACTCTCACCTTGAAAGCTTAAGCTAACACTGGGTGCAGAAGCCGTAAGATCGTGTCACCCCTCACGTTTCCCATGCTGTCATTGTACTGTTGGTGCGTCCGGGCAATACGAGCCCGCCTGAGTCCCGCATCCAATAAGGAGGGATCCCGCGCTTTGGTAAGTTCCTATTATACTGCGTACCTATCAACTGCGATCTAGCAGACATGCAGGTTCTACGAGAAATTATCCAATATGTCGAAGAGAAGCGCTTCGAGATCCCCTCCCAAGGGTACTCGGGCTACTAAGTGCACAATATCGGGTCGATTAATTCCTCCGCATTATCTCCTCAGCTGTCACTTGATACATGTAATATTCTGGCATCTACACAATGAGATTATTACGACCACTTGGTGCATTCAAAATCAGTGTAGTGGCTGCAGTATAATACAGACGCTCGCTGCGGACTCCCCGAGTAGTGGCGCATCGGTAGCGGTCGAAGAATGCTCATGTCTGCAATCCCAATGGCGATTTCACTACCGAATAGAGCGACGCTACTCTACTAACGCCACTCGAGCATGCGCAAGGATTGGGACCAATTTGTATTGCTTTATACAGTAGATAATTCAGTACAGCAGATATTCAACGCAGCTTTACGAGAGAAATGTCGGAACCTGATGGGGATAGCTATAACGCGCGACTCGTCACTCAGCGCTCGTCTGTCTTCATACCGATTGCTTGCCATTCCATTTGGGCCTCGTCAAATGCCCTTTGAATAATCTCCGCATGTTTACCGGATCGGGCTTCGAAGGTGACGTTGAATTTCCTCGGACCGCTGATGAAGCCTTCCATCCAGCTTGCTTCTTCATCCATAGTGTTCGGGACCTCAGGCTGGCCCGTCACATTGTTCCTTGGTGCACATAAGTTGAATCCCCAGACTATACGGGAGATGGCGACGAAGAGGGACGCCTCAGCGACGTAGCTTCCTTGACAAAATCGCCGCCCCCACCCAAATGCATAACTGAATAGCGACACAGTTTAGAAAGTCAAGTCTCATTGAAGAAGAGACCGTGCACTGAACTGGTCGCGATTCCTCGGGTCAGGTCCACTTGCCCATGAAATGGGTTTGTCCGGCCAGTAGAATCGATCCGGATCGAACGCGGTAGGATTGGGGAATCGAACAGGGTCCATGTGTATAGCCCATACGTTACCCATCACAGCAGCGCCCTTCGGGATCAGATATCCGCCATAGATGTCGTCTTCCTCTGCCTTATGTGCGACACCTGGTCTCAAAGTAAGTACATGTCTATATTATACACCGTCATATATTCGGAACATCACGCACCCATGATGACAGACGGTCGTCTACGCATCGTTTCCTTTATGCAAGCGACGAGGTACGGCAGTTTGTCCTCATCTTCGAATGTCGGCAGACGATCCTTTCCCACCACTGAGTCGATCTCTTCCCTCGCACGATGAAGGACGTGCTCGTTCTCCAGCATGAACAACACGAAAGAATGGATGGTACTGGCTGTGGTGTCTGAGCCAGCTTCGAGGATGGTTCCTGCAACGTACGCAAGCAGCTTGTCTCGCATCCACCCATCTTCGGTCGTGCCGTTGCCGCTGGTGACTTCGGTAGTTGCATCCGCGCGGGAACGGAGATATTGGTTGACGAAACCGGGAAGGATTACACCTTTCTCTAGTGCCGCTTGCCCCTCCTTCAAAAGCGAGCCGAAAAGTTCCATTTCCCTGCATGTCGCAGGTGAGCATCTAAAGTTGACTACTTCCGAGCACTTACCACTCATGCATCCGTCGTCCTTCTCGCCGCCATGGAGCTAGCATGTCAGGAAGTAGGCGCAGAACGGGGAAAGTGTCCGCACTGTGCTTTCCCGTTAGCGATACTCTACGGTTTAAATTTACACAACGCACAGATAGTTACCCGGCTGCGCGACACGGGAGACAGTTTCGATTACATCATATATCTTATGCCTGTTACAGATCGTGTCAGCTTCATGTCCTAGAAAGTGATATTGGCACTCGCAGCTTGGCAAATCCATCCAATCGGTGAACACGCTGTCCATACGTGAGGTTCACAACAACGCTCGTGGTCTGTTCAGTCGTCAAAGTCTGTGTCGAGGAAGTCTGTTGAGTACTCACAAACCGCCGCACCAGGGAGGACCAGTGACGTTCAGGGAATCCACCACGCGATGTTTCGACGGGAACACTGGCATCACCCCAAGAATTGGAGCATAAGAGATCATACATGAGGACACGCGACTCTAGCTCCTGTATAGGCTTGAGAGTCTTGGATGGAGTAGGCCCAATGACGCCTTGTAACTCGCGTCTGGCAGTGTATTATTGCGTCAGATCATTTTGTCCAGGATGGTATGTGATTATCATGCCTTCCATTCTTTGCCGTATGGGAGGAAGCCCAAGCGCTGACCATCGCTCATGATATCGTGCGCAACGTGTGGGGAGACACGACCTGAATATTGAGAGCTGCGTGTGATAAACAGCTCATCTGCGGCTTCTGCTGTGTTGACCACAATGACATCTTGAGGTCCTATGCGCAAATGAAAAATAGGGCCGTATTGCAAAGCCCATTCGCGCATCTACGAGAGATTTAATCATTATCGTGTTCTACGTTTCGCCACTACTGACCTTTGGGTACGGACGCAAGGCATTGATTTGAAAGATGTTTCCAAGAATCGGGAGGCCAGGGGGACCGGGCGGAAGATGTGCAAGCTTAGGCTTACTGCGGCGGATGTAGACAACTGCGGTCACGATAACAGTGATAGCTAGGACAGCAATATCGAGAGGTGCCATGGCGTCAAGCTGGGTTCAGACGACGGCCGAGGGCCAGATGTACAACCCACTACAATGCTATCCGCGCCACTACTTATACGCGACTCGGGAGGCAGAACTTTGCCATAACCTTGATATGGAATCAAGAGCAGAAACGCCTCACGGAGGCTTTCTGTACATACACGCGACCTTTCTCGAGTCCGATGAAAGACCGTTTGTGCGTTTAGATAGCTCCATTGGAGACGTATGTGTCATTATAGAGTTGAAGATGTGTTTGGATCTCGTGCGCAATATCATTATTGCATTCGTATTCAGTTGCAGTGTCTGGTAGCGGCAAGCCGCGGTCACAGACCAGTCAAGCTGGACATCCCTTTGGCCACTTCCTCGCCAGCTTGATACCACGTCGTGATTAGTCCGCTTTCATCGCGTAGGCTGTTCGCCGACGCGGTAAGGACGTGGACGGGTATGATGCAAAGCAGTAACATCGAAAGGTAAACGGCGGCCTAGGGGAACCGATAACAGCATGGTCAGAATCATGAAGGGATATTTCCAAGAGGTTACGCTCCCAGTGGTAGACGCGTATAATCCGCTTGTAGTGAGGGGCGAGTGGACAAGAAGAGGCAGCAGTATGACCTGGTAGGGGTCTGGCCTCCAACTTTGCTGAGGCCTGAGGTCTCGAGTTATTCGCGTTGGTGCCATTGAGAAAGACGACAGTCAACCGATATTACCATAGGTAGACGGTAGTCGTCAGTCAGTGCCATGAGGTGTCTTCCGAGTGTCGTCTGGCAGGTAAACTTCCAGCAAATCGCTACAACAGTTTCCGAAATTCATGCCCTAAGTCCGCAAAACGGACTTTAAAATTCATAGAATTCAAACAATTAGGAAAATTGAAACATTGCGTACAGCACTCAGTACTCCATGCTGCCGTATCTCAAATATACACAACTCTTGTAGATCTTCATCAGATCCCCGGAGACATGAAATTAGTGGGCTCATTTGTGCGAAACAAAGGGTGAAGGAGAGCGCTGTGCCTCTCGCATCACATGCCGTAGGGTGGACACCCTGTGCAGGTACCTTGTAACTATGAACACAAAAAATCCTGTGATCAAGAAATGCTCTCGATTTGACCTCAGGAATCGGCGTCAGGTGTCGACTGTTCCTACGTTGCGGGCCGTATAACAAGACTACGTTCAATCATCGTTAAGCGCTCGACGAGTCACTAGCATGTACACACAGTGAAGTATGCCGGCTTTGTGCATGAACCAAAGGCCTTGGACTACATATATGAATCGATAGTCTGAGAGTATTGAGGTACAAATTATATACAGATTTAGGTGCTACAACATGCACAACACTGCGTGAACCCAGCGAGAACAGGCCATGGAGCTCCATGCCGATAGGCAGGCCTAGTGTGCAAGCCTTACGATTTTCCTGTACACTCATTTTAATCGCTCATATTTCCTTTTGTTTGACATTAATGCTGTGAGCTTAGACTCCATATAACGTAGGTACATGTAGAGTGTAACCGAGTCCCGGGGGCTCCTCTAAGTGGGCTCCACGCCCTCGTACGGAGGGGCATGATGAAATGCGGCTCTCTCGATATATTAGCCCTACGTGTTCGGGTGGACTACATGCGTTGGCTTGGGAGGCACTGTATGACCAGTACTCACACAGCGAGCCACGTTAGTTGCCCGACAGCGAGACGAGAGAGGAGGGTCCAGGGGGTGTTGAATAGCACTCCCCACGGCTCTGTGAAGCGGCATCGGCAATACTCAGACACCAGTCTGGGCTAGGTGTGGTGCAGAACCCGTGTCAACGCCACGCTCGCTCTACCAGATGAGAAGGTTCTCGGCGCATGCCCACATCGCACCAGTTGGTGAAGTGCACGAAGTCGGTGCTCTGCGAGGAGGTGAACTCCGGAACCATGTTGCAGGCCTAGTGGACCCACCGCCGTTTCTTTGTTGGCCGCTGCAATGAAGGACAAAAATGAAGCAAAATAGTGGACCTTTTTGACAAGACGCAAAGGCAGCGCCTTGCTACGTCAGTCTTCGTGACAAACACAGGGAATCATATCGTCAGATGGCACAGTGGGTGTGTTTCGGTAGACTGTGGTGAGCTGCATTGGAAGAGATAAACTAATACGCACTCGTGATCCCGGTGCTGGAGAGTTTATCTGTCCCGAGTGCGAGGAACCGAAGTCAACCATGCTATACATTCACAATGGCGTTCCTAGGGCCAAGTATTCGCTACTCACCTAGGGCTTTGCAAACCTCGCAAACCTCCCGAGACCAAGCCTATGCCCTTCCCTTACGAAGCTACGGTGTCCGCACATCGGTAGCCTGTGGAGTCTTGACGTTGCCGTTTGAGGGCTCGGTAGTCGCACTGCGATAGCTCAATCCGGACATCAGAAACAGTTGCTTCCTGATGTCTCTAGCTTGCGATAGTAACCGCAGGATACGAAGACAGCATTGTGAGCACGTTAGAGGGCGTCGTCGATGCCATACGTATTTTTGTTATTATTCGGAATTTGTTGAATTTGTTGAATTTTTTGAATTTTAAAGTCCGGTTGGCGGACTTCGGACATGAATTTCGGAAACTGTTGTAGAAGGCATCCTCTGAGCGCTGATGTTGACCAATGCAACACGTGATCATGTCAAGTTATCGGTCCCTGAGGAAGCGGCAGTATTCGCCCCTTCGATAGGTCTTTGGGGAGCATCTTTCATTCATGCATCGCGCTTATATATGGCGAAGGATCTGTTGAAACACGCGGTCAGCAACGAGCTCGCAAGCTCGGGTGCGATAGCAGCCAGGGGCTGGAGGCCCCTTCGTAGTATATAACGATCGTTCGCGATGTATGTACGGTACGCGATTGTCTCTTACGCGCATCGCTACGTCCGTCGACAAACGCGCTCGCCGATCGTTTCCCGTTGCTTCAACAGAATCTGTAGAGCAACGTACCTGCTGAAGCGCTGACGACTCAGTTTGTTGTACATGCTCATTGCGGTGTGAGGTGATCTCATTGAGTTTGTCGTGCAGTTCCTGAGTCTGACGTTGCTCTTCCTCGATCGCAGCTGCCAGCAGTTGTCTTCTCCCATCAGGACTCCATGAACGAGCGACACTCGCACAGCTGTTCCCCATTCTGTCACCTAGTCAGTTAAATAAGCTGTGCTGATTGATTGTGAATGGAAGGAGCGCCGTTATCGTCTGCTCGATGCTCGGGCATGTTGTATCAAGCCAAGTTCGGGTGGCGAAGTTGCCACCACAAACGTGGTACATGGTATGTAACGCATTGCATCATTCAACAAGTTACTATTTTCCCATGTCGTCCTCGATGAGTAGGTATACTTCCTCGATACCCAAGGCCATCGCAAATTCTAAGGGCAAGCTCGTGCTGGGTTTGTCAACAATGGGACTGATCAGCATCTCAATCTTGGTATATTTTACTGTCGAAAATTCTACAATTCCATCTTGCGAACAGCATTGTGCCTTTGGAGGCCATCCGCTCGCAGAGGATCCCGAGGTTACGACGAGGTTACGAAGAGCTCCGTACAAGTAGCAGTGCCTAAAGTCGAACCAGCAAATGACTAAATAGTCGTCTGTACGTACGTATTGTCACAATGAACTCCTTGCTGAGTGCTGACTATGCCCCCACCCTCCCTATGCAGTATTTGGAGACTCTGGCAACCGAAGTCCAGCGCTCACCATCTCTTAAGTCTCTGTTGTTCATCTGACTCGTTTGTGGAAATCAACGTCAAACTGTCTTCGAAATGAAACACCCTGGCCTCCTCAACGTTATCGTAAGTCTAGGACAGCGTGATAATGGTAGTGAGCTCGAGTGACGACGACAGTTTACGCACAACGCGGGGAGGGAGGAGTAAATGTTGAGCATGGCAACAGTATTCATGTAGAGAAACACCTCCACGACGAAGGTAAAATGATTTTATAGTCGCGATTGCGCTGACCATGTGTACCAGTATATCCATCACAAGTATATCAGTTCAGTCCATGTCAACTGCAGCCTGACTGACATCACCATATAGACCTGGCACCCGCACTACGTCCTCAGTTTACTCTGAGAGTGTGGTTGCTAACAAAATCGTGCGTCTCTGCCATTGTTCTACAGGCTGGTTTCGCTGGGTATTCATCATCTTGAGTTGGTCTCCTATGACTCAATTGTAGCGATGACTGACTTTCGAGTGATGCAGGTCACGGAGACAGGAGCTTTACCGATTCAGGAGCCTCAGCACATTTCGCGCTTTTTCGTGCCAGAATGACTGCTGCACTGCCCAAACAGTAGGGGGGGGGGGTTGCCCCACCAATTGCAAGTGAACTATATCGAGGTACTAACGTGGTCAAGTGCGAGGAAGACCGTCGATCCCACGTTTCGGCATCAGTCCGCATCCGTCGGTAGCCGCCAACCACGTAACCAGTCTCCCGGAAATGTAATTCGGCAAAGTTGTGTACGAAGAACACGGCAGCATAGATAACTCTCATCCAGAGTCAGTTTGTTCTGAGAAGGTCACTTCGGAGATATGTGGAAGCATGGCTTATACGACCCACTTGTGTAAGTGAGGTCTATCTCACATCCGCGTCGTCCGCTGCCATCGCAGCCACACCTATGACCGGCAGCGGTCGGATTGGTGAACTACGGCATGTCCTCTATATATAATGAAATAGGTGAGGCATACTTGGTGCGTTGTCACAATGGACTCGTCTACGCCGCCGCTACCTCCTCTCGGGAGCATCATCCTGACTCGTGAAGGCCTGACCGGTCTCCTCCAGCCTATGCTCTCTGTGCTGGTCTGCCTCATTCCTACGGTCATAGCTTCGACATTCTTGATTCCATACTTCAGTGATCCGTACAAACTTCGAGCATACCCTGGACCATTCCTCGCGAAGTTCACATCTGTTTGGGCCTCTTGGGTCATCAACCACAACCGATGGTCAGAGACTGTGGATCTTCTGCATCGTAAATACGGTAACATCTACCAGTCCTTCGCCGGATATTGCTTAACTCCCTAACCATACAGGCCCTATCGTTCGCCTCGGCCCTGACAGCGTCTCTATTGCCGACCCTTCTGCCTTCGCAGTCATCTACGGCCACTCATCTGGTGCATTGAAGGCACCGTTCTACGACGCTTTTGCAAATCACAGGATCAGGGACCTATTCAACACCCGCGACCGTGCTGAGCATTCGCGCAAGCGTCGCGTCGAGGCACACATTTTTGCGCCTCAAAGTATCCGGGCATTGGAGGATACTGCTCGTGTGCATTTCGAGATACTCGTGCGTCAGTGGGATGCGATGTGCGCACATGCAGAGAAGGCAGGACGTGGAAGTGCCGAAGGGGCAATCGGTACAGTTCCCTGGAAGGTGCATGACGGCAGAGTCTTTTTCAACTGCATGCTTTGTAAGGGTTCATCACTGCGTTCGAAGGCCTTACTGATAGTTATGACTGTCGATCAGGGTTCAGCTTTTGGTCATTTGATACGATTGGTTCGTCCGAGACCCTTGGCAGATGAACTTCTCACATTTATGGGAAAACCCTACATAGGTGACCTTGCATTTGGACATCCATTTGGCATGCTCGAGACGGGGAAGGATACAGCTCAAACAGTCAAGTCCGACGTTAGAGGCATGGAGGCCATTGCTCAGGCCACCTCCAACTCGGAGAAGACGAAATTAGAGCTGGTAGATATTCCTGCAATTGAGGCGCTCACTGCACGCGCAGATACCCTCTTTGTTGTGGCGTATCTCCCAGCATGGCTTCAGCCCATTGTTGGCCATCTTCCGAGCTTGCAATCCGGTTATAATGCTGCTCCAAAGCTTGCGGGTCTGGCTGTCGCAGCCGTAGCTAACAAATTCGCGTCAAAAACCGACCGTGCGGACATGCTCTCGAAGCTTTTGGAGGGAAGAGACAAGAATGGAAATCTCTATGGTCCGGAAGAGCTGAGTGCCGAAACGTGGCTCCTGATAATTGCCGGTGGAGACACGACTGCGAAGTGAGTGGATCTGCACTTCTCATCATCCAGCTCGGTCCTCAAAGCACTTTGAACAGTACCTCGTGCGCGACAACTTACTATCTCGCGCGCAATCCCCGGATCCAAGCAAAGCTGCAGGCTGAGTTGGACACAGCACTCGACGGCATCGATTCCGATGTGGCATCTTACGATGCGGTGAAGGACCTGCCGTACCTCGGTGCCGTCATTAACGAAGGTCTTCGCCTGCACGCAACAGTGGGCGTAGGCCTTCCTTGCGTTGTCCCTCCTGGTGGACTGACAGTCCTCGGACACCACCTCAAGGAAGGGTCGGTTGTGAGCTCGCCAATTTACTCTCTTCAGAGGAGCGAGGCGGTATGGGGCGAGAATGCACGCGAGTTCTACCCTGAGAGGTGGCTCGAGGCATCCGCGGACGCGAAGAAGGAGATGATGCGATCGTTTGCGCCGTTCTCTGTGGGTCCAAGGTAAGTAGGAAGTAGTCGATTCCACGGTCTGCTGAGCTGAAGCGTATCTGCACAGGGCATGCTTGGGGCGAAATCTTGCGCTGCAGCAATTGTACATCATGTTCGCAACGCTCTTCCGCCGGTATGATTTTGTTCTAGAAAATGACGCACCTGTAAGCTTGTTTGCATCTGCTCCCACGACACACCTAAGTGACCTTTGTCCCGGGAACAGCTTGCTGTCCAGGACAGACTCGTGCAGAAGTCGAAGGAGTGTATCATAGGTGTGCAGCGGCGAAAGGGACTGGTCTCCCGACAGTAACGGTGGCGGCTACCCAGTCCAAGCACCACATTTCTTCCCGTATTATGTCCTGTATGCGGGTGATATGAACAGCATCGCTAGTACACAAATTCGCACATGAAATCTCCTTGTGCATCGTTCCGCGCGGTGCCGGCGTTGAAGCGAATAAGCTCATGTAGTGCGCGTGTGCCAGGATTGATCGGCAACTCCGTCGTGTGATAGTCTCACGCAGGCAGGACTAGGGTAGTCAACCTTTGGTGACATCATACCAAGGAGCTTATTGCAAGCGAAGCGAGTATCACTAGAGAAGGCTGAGCAGATTTGTACACCTGTTCTTATTGAGAGTGCCTGGAATGGCCAGTTGAATTTTGCACGTGCGTGGATATAGAGTGACTAGAAGATGATACCCCAGCAAACGGGTATGAACACAATGAGAAGAGTCGCCTCGGCTAGAGTTAACCTTGGCAGAGCCGCCGTTCTGGCTAAAGGCGTGGCTACTGACTGGGGTGAGCTTCTCGCGCTTAGGATTACACGCACACGTAAAGGCCATGGCTCCGAGTGCCTGACCTACTTGTGCATTATGGCTTTTTCGCTGGATGGCAGAAACACTCGGAGTCTTAGATAGTAGGCTTGTAGTGGCGAGCGGGATACACATGGATTGACCAGCCATTATCAGCAATAGTTGGACCTTTGAGAATGAGGTAACCACCGTACGTATTATCCTGGTCTACACGATATAGTAGGCCTGTATTAATCGCATGCTGGCAGCCAATACATAGAAGAAAACGCTCACCTGTACTTAGTCGTGGGAGGCCTGCGCCACAACTCCCTTCATGCATCCGAGCAGTCGTGGGAGCTTGTCCTCTCTTCCCGACGTGGCAGATATTCGATACCGATAGCTTAATCTCTTCTCCAACGTTTTATGCAGCGCGTCCGAGTTGTTCGACATAAATAGAATGAACGAATGCAGACCCATCGGAATCAGCTTCGTGAGCGTTACATGAGATATGCAATGAATCTATTGTGCGTCCAGCCCCCGCCTTCTGCTTCTATGCTGGTTCCCCAACATGGAAGATCGTCGTGCACAGGGGCTGGACGAGCGCGAAGATAAGGAGCCATACCTTCTGCGATGGTCGCGTCAAAGAGTCGCTTTCCACAATGGCCTATCTTCAGATAACAGTCAGGACAAAGACATCTAGTTAGGAGAAAACGCAAACACACAGTTCCAGCAGCATTTGCGGTCCAAGTAAAAGTATAAGCGGCAAAACACGAATGAGCACAGACGCAAAACGAGGAACGACTTGCAGCGGTCACGATCCCACTGAAACGGGTAGCAAGTGAATAACCAACGGGACAGATGTGTCGAAATGCTACGAACATCCGTATTTGTGACCTAATGATCGTCCATATGGTCTTCGACCACTCGCAAGTACAAGTAGCGAGATATTAAGGTATCTTTGTGCACTTGTCAATGACGACATGTAGCATTCATATTGTTTTACACACAATTAACAACAAGAAGCATCGAGGCGCCCCGCCCCCCGCCCACTGTGAGAGTACAAGAACGGAATCCACGTTACTACACAATGGGAGCCCGACCGACTCTGAGATGGCAGAATGCCTAACGCTCATCTTCTTCAAGGCCCATAGCCTGCCATTCGCCTTGTACATCGTCGAACGCTGTTCTCATGATCTCTGCATGCTTCTCCGAACGTGGGCGGAAGCCCACAGGGAAGATAAAAGGAGAGCTGACGAAGCCACCGCTCCAGGTCTGTACCTCATCACCGAAGTCGGGAAGCATAGGCTTGTCCGTGCGAGGGTCTAAAGGTGCATAGAAGTCGATGCCCCATATGAGGCGCGAAAGAACAATGAAGAGCGAGGCTTCGGCCATAAGGCTGCCCTGGCAGAAGCGCCGCCCCCATCCGAATGCATAGCTGAAGAAACAATGAGTATGAACCGGGAAGGGAAGTGGAGAGATATACGTACTGATCGCGGTGGCTAGAATCCGGCCCGCTCGCCCATTTGGGCATCTTGTCCTTGTCATAAAACCGCTCCGGATCAAAGGCTGCGGGATTGCGGTAACGGACGGGATCCATGTGAATAGCCCAGATGTTTCCGATCACGGTCGAGCCTTTCGGGATGTGGTAACCCTCATAGACATCGTCTTCATCCACCCTATGGGGCATCCCTACGCATGGAGCTCAGCACGAGGTCACGAATTACGAGCTTCGCATGTACGCGGACGCACCCATAATTGTGGGCGGTCTTCGTCTCAATGTCTCCTTGATACATGCAATGACCCATGGGAGTCGCTCCTCGTCATCCCATCCAGGCATGCGCTCTACACCCACCACGCGGTCCAGCTCCTCTCTGGCGCGCGCTAGCGCGTCGGGGTGGTGCAGCATAAGTAGCATGAATGTCTGAATCGTGGCGGCAGTCGTGTCCGATCCTGCCTCGAGCAGCGAGCCCGCGGTGTACGCGAGTAGTTTGTCGCGCATCCAACCGGTGCCATCTGGAGTGACGCCCGTCCCTGGAAGATCCTCGCATCCCACTTCGGCGCGTGCGCGCAAGTAAGAAGGCACGAAACCTGAATGGTAAATGCCCTTTTTGAGCGATGCGCGGCATTCAGAGAGGAGACCACCCCAAAGCTCCATCTCCCTATGGCACGATCATTTAAGCTCGGATCTTCACACAAATATAGAGCGCGTACCATTCGTGCATCTTGAGGGCCTTCATTCGCCACGGTGCGAGGATACCGGGCAACCAACGTAAGGGGCGAATAGTATCGGCCCTAGATGGAACCCAGAGTGAGCCAAGAACGATATGAAGCAGTGTCGTTACTGGTATACTGACAGATAAGCACCTGGCTGGGCTACCCGAGTGAAGTTGGACATGACATCGTAGACCTTGCGCCTATGATGTATGTATCAGCTAGTGTAGCGGTCTAATGCACTTAGTCCTCACATTTGTGGACTATTGAGGATCCTATGGACGCGTTTACCGTACGCGAGGTGCATAACAACACTGGTCGTCTATCAAGCAAACTTTTACTGGGGCTAAGCAGTAACGGAATGAGTGAGTGCTTACGTATCGTCTGATCACAGAGAACCAATGCCTCTCAGGGACCTCACCGTTCGGGCCGGGTACGTGCACCTCTGTTATGCTCTGATCCCCATGACAGATCAGATCATACAAAACCACCCGCGACTCTAGTTCTTGCATCTCGCGCAGGCGCTTGGAAGGTCCCGGACCGATGACACCTTGTAGGTTCCTTCTAGTGACCTGTAGTAGATGAACATAACAGTTAGGTCCCAATATTGATATTGATGACGCGGTCTAAATCCAGACTCGGACCTTCCACTCGCGATCGTATGGCATGAAGACCATCCTTTGTCCGTCGCTTACGAGATCCTGGGCAACATGCAGTGAGGGACGGCTCGAATACACCTTGCTGCGGTTCACGAGCAGCTCGTCAGCTGCCGCTGCCGTGTTGAGGACGATCATGCGTTGCGGCCCAAGCTTGAGAGAGAAGATTGAGCCATACTTCTGTGCCCATTTGAGAAACTAATCGCGGAGAGTTTAGCCAGGATCCACAGGAAGAGAGACATACAAACCTGGGGGTGCGGGCGTAGCGCGTCGACTTGGAACAAGTTGCCGAACACCGGGATTCCAGGAGGGCAAGGAGGAGGTGGATCTGTCGAACGGCCATGAAGGAAGACTAGGAGAGTTGCGAGCGTAACCGCAGCAAGTGCAATAATGTCATAAGCAGACATCTTGTGCAGGCACTCCGCGACAGCTACCAAGGTGGAAACGGTCTGAGGTATAACTAGTGTGGGAGCTCAAGCTCGAGCCAAGGTCATGCGAAGGATGTTTTAAGCGTTACGATGAACACGCGCTCCATTGATACCTGAGGCGCGCCGACAGAGATGCCGACTGACATTGTCCTTCTTAATGCGCTCATTCCCTCGGAAACTACGGCGAGCGTGAGTGCTTTTGACAGCCTTATGAAATCGACCGGCCCAGATGACATGATTAGACTTATCTCAGCGTGTCCCATCCACCCAGCAGATACGCAACGATGGTCTGTGACATGTGAGACCAGCAAAATAAGCAGTAAGTAAAGAGAATGACACGGGACCGAGGCTTGCGATGCGAAAAGTTCCCATATAGATCATGAGTTCAGTCTTCTCTCGACTACGACTGATGGAACGGCTCCGAGGGCGCGACCGGATAGTGAGCAGATCCCCTTGACGCAGTATGATGCTCAGACTAGACTGATGTGCAATGCCCTCTGCCGACATCTGCATGACGGTGGGGGCACTGGCCTTGGGTGCCGTTTGGACGTTAGTCTTCGTTCCGAGTAAACGGATGAGCATCAAGACACCCAAAGCACTTTGAAAGCCTTATGTCGGAAGAAGACTAATGGACTGCAACACACGAGGGTAAGAGAACTGGTATGATTGTCGGAAACCACAGGTTCAGTCCTGAGTCCAAAGCGCGGAGACGGGGTTGGTAAGATCACGTGACGCGACACGAAACACGCGTTGAAGTTCATAATCGCCGCCTCCTTTCTGCCATTGGCGTAGATGTGCCATTAGGATTTTTAGCGAGAATATTTATTGAACACACGGTGTGAATTGCCCCTCACTTTATACGATGCAGAGCTAAAGATACTCGTCTCATGACCGAGTCCCGAGACGTCTCACGCAGCGCTTCTTGCGGCAGCTTGACATCAAGTCCTCGGACGTGTTGCTGTTATCCTATCCCCGGTCGGCAGATCCGCCTATGCTCGGAGATGTACACGAGAAGGCAAGTAAAGACATCTGCGCCAAGTATCGGAATCACAACAAGGCCCGCTCTCCCAGCCCTCGCTCCGTATTTGGGTTGACGCGCAGGATAAAACCATTTATATTCGTCCTTTCTTCCCTCGACAAAGCGATTTGCAGGATATTAGGCGTTGACTTAGGGCAGTCGCTGAGACCGAAATGGAGACCCTGATGCATAGCATCCCCCTTTCTCAGCTTTGGGAGCTGACCAGCGGTCTAGAACATGCTTATGTGTATCTCTGCAGCTTCTCTTCTACTCCGCTCCAATCACGTAGGATAGGGATGGATGTTGATGGCTTGTTCTCTTCTAATAACACCCCGGCTCCTATTGAAGGCGCTTTACGCTACCCAACTATTTCCGACTCTTTTCGCCGCGGCTTTGAACCCTGGCGTCAGTATTTGGCGCATAATGGTCACTATATATTATGTACTCATTTCACTACTTCAACTTGCCATCGGAGGCCGGAGCAAATTTACATCGTCTCTTTCGCGAGTGACAATGCTTAAGAAGCGAACAAATATGGCAGTAGGTGTGCTCGCCTTATCTCAAATCCTATTTGCGTGATGATGTCCGCCCAGGGTCCAGCGCGCGCGTCCCTTGGTCAGTGTGGCCGCATCGAGAAACCAGCAAGAGGAATACGAGCCACCCAACCAATCCTGGCGACGACCACTCTCGGGCAACGCCTGTCACTATCTGATCTGACCTCCATATCCCGCGCTGGAGTCATTCACGTTCAACACATCTCCGACACATGTCATCTCCCGTCGCCCATGGCGAGCCGCCTTGAAATCGATTGGCTGAATGGAAACCCTCACTCTAAAAGGAGAGAACTTGATATATATGTTTGGAAATACATTCCGCATTATCAAAAATGTATGACTCTCGACCGCATGCTCGTGTCGGGCTTCCATCCGCCCCCATCGCTAAAAACGGCCCACCCGCCGCTGGCTTCTAGGTCCAGAGAAAACCCACAGCGTCTCTACTTTGCAATACAATATGGCTGTACATTGACTATCGGCATTGAACTCACTTTTCCAGCTATCATACCCGATCAGATATTCCTCAAAAGCACTATCTCGGCATTTCGTCAGGTCCAGATCTCTTTGCTCATTCGGGCGCGGTCAACGAGAAAATGCGCAACAGGTTTAGCAACGTTCAAACTTCAACGATCTCCCATATTCTTCTGAGAAGGCAGTATTCGAGGCCTTCCATTAGGTTGATTTGTAACCCAAGCAGTATCGATGGCGAAAGACGTCTGCCTGCACAGCGTAAACTGTCCAGGTGTTGTGATATCCCCAGGTTATCTCCTTATGAAGGACGACCATGGGTACCCAGTCACTCGTCGAGGTGACATTCCCAGATCAGAAGCCGATGGAGCACGAAGAGAACAGGAGCTGGGCAAGGCAATTTCCTGAACCTTGTTTCTTACGCGCCTTCCGACATGAAGCGCTAGTCCGCCATCGCAGCTTCTCTGCTTGCCTGGTTCTCTTGAGCAAGGCCAATGCCAAATAGTTGCGAGCTTTGAGATGGAGATGTTCTTCCGTTCCCAATGAGGGTTCCTACTAGTGCCATCAGGCCTCCGATCAAACCATCGATCGACACCGGCAATTACTTCCGTTACACGACTCCTCTCGAAAGCTGGCTAACGTTCATTTAGGGCACTTCAGATTGGAGAAGCATCTCGTCTGTGTTCAATCTAATGATTTATCATGACGATGTACTTTGAGATAAAGCACTCTGCACAAAATACTCTATCTGTCTGATTGTCATAGCCTCCATAAACGTTGTTGAACTCGCGCACTTATCGTGTTCTAGATAGTGATTCTAACTTCTAAGTTGGAAATTTCACTTAATGCAGAAGTATACACCGCCGTTGGTAGGCGCAGAACACCCGACGTCATGGAAGCCATGCTTGACGTTTGCTAGCGGCCTATGACAATCCGCTCGGAACAAGGATGAAGCAGCGGGCTCGTACAAGTAACAACTGCTCCCAACAAGGGGATCTTGATTGGCAGAGCGCAATATCTCCGAACTATCGCGCCGAATTGATGGGCTCATCACTCCGACTCCCCATCGGAGGGTTGCTGCGGGCGCGCTATTCATAACCTTGCTCTCCTACCTTCGTATCGAGCTCGACTTGTAGCCTGCTATTGCACACGTTGACGTTTCCACGTCACAATTCGAAAGAACAGTTAGAGAATGGACACAGTAGTGATTTGATCTCACAGGTCTACTGTGATCATGGCGGTTTGGCTGCATATTGAGATGGATATGGCTGGATGGAGCTCGGTGGTGCCCACGGTCTCCCATGTCAGCCTCCGAGGCATTCAGAACCGTGAGATAAACCTTGAACGTCTATTAGCCACCGCTGCCGGCGTATCAACTGGCATGCAAGGAGCAGGTCAATTAACAATGCTTTGCCGTGATACAGTAGTCCGCTTGCGACTCGACGTCACAATGACAAATACTCTACCATGTTCAAGCTCTTTTTAAAAGAGCCTGAGCTCACCGCAGAAGCAGCTGAGATTCATCCTGCCAGTCGCATTTTGCACCCGAAACGTGATTCGTGACGTCCAGAAGCACTTATCGACGTCAGAGACATTATACTGGAAACTAGTCATTCTTGATAGAATGTGAGTCGTACACCAACAGGAAGCATCATAGGTTCGAGCAGTACTCTGTCCTTGTCCAAGGAGACCTCGTTTCCGTATAGACGTCACATGTAGACAATCGGACGTTCAAGACCTAAAGAGAATTTCTATGGGGTAGTCTATACACAAGAATGCGAACTAAATCATGATACAATGTCCGAGGGCATGTCTATACAGAAGAGTACAATACATTACGACGCGAACTTCGTCTGAGCCACGCTCGCAGCACCCGTGAACAGCAATCAGAAAGCTGACGGAGTTGGATTTCAGGGCGTCCACGAGATTTCCTGATCTTTTGAGAATCCTATCGGCGAGAGCCGCTCATGCTCAGCCAATAAGAACGAGTCTGCGTTGATTCCTTGCCCCTGCCCTAGCATCGTAGAAAGACTCTGCGAAAGGGAGTGCACCGTGGACAATATGTCTTGTTGATCGCAGATTGCGACAGCAACAGCGACTCGGCGTTCTGGGGAGTCCGCAATGGGTTGTGTGAGATGAACGCTAGCTTTGTCGGGGAATGCCGGTATGCATCCGACAGTGAGATGTGCATCGAGAACTGCATTTGATATGTCAAGGTTTGACTGCGAGAGGGGTGAAGATAGGCGGTGTTCCTGAGGCGCGAAAGCAGCTAGGGGCTGCGCAAAAGTAGATATGCTATCGCCATGAGAGCTTCGTGGGGATAGCTCTCCGCTCGCAGCCAATGTTTCGTGCGTCTCGAAAGCATGCTGCGACAAGGAGAAAGAGGGGTCGAAGAAGGCGGCTTCTGCAGGCGTTGTCGGCCCTGACAATCCTGGCGACCACATGTTGAAGAACTCCATCTGCTCGGCATCACCAAGCACGTCTGACGGAGATGGATACATGTAGGGGTTGAAATCTGGCGAGAAGTCATGGAATGCCAGCGCGGAAGAAGAGGCCTCCGGAAAGTTGTGCAAGGGAGTGGATGTGATGTAAGCGTCTGAGAGGCGCTTCTCAGAACCCACTGACGGGACAAGCGGCAATGGGGACGGCAAGCGCGTGTGAAGACGCGTTGCGAAGTCAATCGGCATAGCATCGTCTGCTCCGGTGCACAAAAGTGGTGGATGGATTTCATCTCCCTCTGCAACGAGCTTGGGCGTTGAGGGAACTGTTCCCGGTTCTGATCCCGATGATTGGCTGGCGCTCCAGGTCGGACTGGGAGTCCCGGAGACGAAGGAAGACATTGAGTCGCTCCTGGAAGTTCGCCTTCTTGGTGCGGGATATGCAGTTGAGACACGTCGAGTCCGCTTGCCGTTGGCTCTACAAGAGCCCCGCATGAGATGATTGTATCTACAAGAATAGTCAGTAATTGCCGCTGAGCGTCTCAGAGTCCCGTGAGCAGCTGACCTATTCTTCGCGGCTAATCCCGTGCGACCAGGAAGTGAAGTGCGAGCAATACTGGCCCATGAGTGCCCGTACTTCTCAACTGCGTCCAACAATAGTTCGTCCTAATAAGAAAATAAGCTCCTGAAATGATGTTCGTAAATAAATTCGCACCTCTTCTCGGCTCCAACCACTTCGATCAATTGTGGGGTTCAGGGCGTCGTTCCAACGCTTTGCGCATTCTGTATGCCATCAATACAGGTATAATTGGATCAATACTCGAAAACTCACGTCCGCTGTTCCGCGTACGCACTCTGTTTGCTACGAGGGCCCATCTATACTTGACCCGTCAGTTCACCACGTGGCTAATGTGCGTTAACTATTACTTACTTAGGCCCGAGCTCCTCTACTGCACTGCAGAGTCTCTAGATAAGCAGGTCAGCGATCTTGCTGAAAGCTGAACTGCATTCTCATACATCATCTTCATCTGACGTCCAGCTTCCCTTCGACACGACGGTGGCCATCTGGGCCCACCAACGCTTCCGACAGTCTTTATTTGTCCTGCTTGGAATATGCTGAGAAATTGCGTGCCACCGTGTTGGCGGATTGGACTCCGGATCCTCTGCAAGTACCCTGGATTAGCATTGTGCTTGCCGACGTGAAGATTCGAGTACCTTCTTCAATGGCCACCCGGAGGGATTCATCCTCCTCTTCGGTCCACGGACGGCGGTCTCGAGGCTGGTAGGACTCGTCGCTAGATTGCATGAGGGTGTCTGTTCGGGGGGAGTTTGGGTTGGAATATGACACCGCTCGTTCGCCTGAAATACGTTCTGCGACATGATATGAGTCTCTGCAATTTCGTAACGGCGCTCAGTGTGCGCAGATGAGGTCCCTGCAGGACAGATTCAGTTAGCCCAGATTGGATGTATCTGCATTGTCGAGGAAGAGTGATATTACGTGTGAATCCAATATCGAAGAGAATACGTCATCTGCCAAACGGCCCAGCGGTCGGGCCAACTCCTGTGGCGCTGTTGCCTATATTTGGTGGTTAGGTTTGAGATGACAGCAACGACCTACTGCATCAGTGACCCAGAGTCCTCATGTTTGGGCTTGTAAGGCTGGCAGGCAGACCTGGGACGGGACAGTGTGAGAAGCGATAGGAGGCGACCAGGCTGTGTGAGCGTATGCAAATTCAAGGGATTGATCGGAAACCCTGTCAGTGAGAGGATGGGTACCGGACTCCGGGAGGCTTCCCGGAATGGGATCGGGACTTCATGAATGGACAAACTCCATATCATGAAGTTGTCGGAACATCCGAGCGCTACACAAACCCTGAGTACGCACGGGGACCTCACATCTGTAGTCGACGTGGAAAATCTACTGGCGCCGGTTCCGAGAACAGACGCTCTTCGGGTCAAGCCAGAACTTAATCTAGTGATAAGATAACCTTTGAGAGCGAACTTACTAATACCTGCTTAATTTCGCCTTAGCTCATTGTAATGCGTTGAGAGCACAGAGTATTGTCCACAAGCGTCTCAGTAAATCGTTGCGCAGCTTTCGCTGGCGTCGTTGCGCTGTGAAATATGAGGTATCAAGATGGATATGCTAGTGGCAGGGACCATAGCAACTCTCAGGAACTACGGGCCGAGTACTTGACGAATGGATGATACACTGTGTTGGGGACCTACTTCCCAACGCTTCGCAGTTCCGCGATGTCCACAAGCGCAAACGCCATTTACGTGTTACTAGGGACCATCCGAAAAGCGATCCGGCCCGAGTCCCACATCTATTCCACACTCTGGTATTGAGCAATGTAATGTGTGCCGCTCCGTGAGGGACTGTTGTGAGGTATGGTCTTGGAGTGACTGACCAGGTGAATGTGAATGTGATGCTTCCTTGTCGATGTTGTCCGCCATACACTATGATAGTCATTCTGTAGGAGAAATTCTTTACGATACAGAGAGCTTACCTGATGTAAAGCTCTGCCAACGAGGATACAACACATTGTACACGAAAGCTCCGTGATCGGAGGAATGGTAAAGAAGAGCTGACACGTTCCCTGTGCAACGCATCGAGTTCTATCGTTCATCTCTGTAGTTGGCTAAGCCATTATTGCATTTTGTCACAGTATGCCGTCGCAACGTGAAGGAATGTCAGCTGATGAACTGTCGCGTGCCCTGATGCGGATGAGACAAGGCTAGACTTTGTCTTCGATAGCCGCGGATGTGAGCGTATAGGAGGGTGAAATCGTTGATCAACCCGGTGCACCTACCCGGGATCCGAATGTAAACGTCCGCATCTTTCCTTCGTGCGATTGCCGAATTGGTCTTGCGCGGGACAGTATGTTACGACATAGCTCGGGCAAGACATCGCGTACCTCGCGTACTAAATGCAGGTAATAGGGCGCTGTCCTACCATTGAACGACGACGACGTCAGAACTCACTAGTTGTCAAGGTGATCTGAGCCAGGTGGGCATGGCCGTAAAAGCACAAGCACAGGACTCACCAACAGCGCATCACTGCGACATTATACACGCTATCCTTCCAGCCGAGGTCCTTCGTTCCGATATCACCTTGGAAGTAAGGGATTCTATTGAGAGTGGGGCCAGTGAAAGGATTAGGGGACAAGATGGTGGTGTACGGACCATCGGGACGTGCTCTCTGTCCATCGGTCCCTTGAATCGAGATGAAACCCAGAAGGCTGCAGAGAGCGTGCATGCATCACGACATCACCCAACAAGCATCGAATCGCCGGTTGACAGAGGTCGCCGAGGAGATTCCCGGTACAGCAGCGATTCTGAGAGCACCGCAGCATTCTGATGGTGGCGTCAGGGCGTGAGGGGCCTACAGTCGACGTCCGGGCGGTTTATGTTCATAAGGAACGACCGCAGCTTCGTCGTCGGACCGATGTACGAGAGGATGTATCCACACTCTCGGAAAGATCGCGCCGGTGTGATATTTGACGTTGTCGGTCGACTACATGCGCAACATTCGGACCGCATTCCGGGTTGAGAAGCGCCGGGCAATGGCAGTGTCCAGTTCTCAGTATTATGGAATAATATTGGTGAGCGACGCACAAGCTCACCAGTCCGGGGGCATGTGGGACAATGTCTTGAAAATTCGATCGCCATACTGCATCGTGAAATCAAACACAATGTTCGAAGTTGAAGCCTATAGCGTTGCCGGCGCACCACCATCCTTGGAAAGGTACTCGAACAGCTCCATGGTAAGGGCGTGAGCGCGGAGAAGCAAAATACGTCACCGTGCAGATCGAAAGTGTTGATACGTTAGAAAAAACGTGCTCGACACTCGGGTTCTCTGCCACATTTGAGCGCCGCTTGTGGACCTGAGCAAGTGACGTCAGAAGAGTGTCTAGTACATAGAGACAGCAGCATATGATAAATATGTGTTACGCGAGGTAGACGGTAGCGTATAGGAAGATATGCTTACCTGCAATTGTGTAAAGCAACGTGTGGTCGCCAAGGTCACTGCGCGGGAGAGGGTAATCTGAGTGCCAACACGTCCGGAATGATCGGCATATCTAGTAAGAGCGACTAAATAGCTTTCTGGTGCAGGAAACGTTTGATTTTCCGTGCGATTTAACCGTCCGCGCAGCATGTAATCAAAGACACTAGCACCATGTGGATGTTGCCATGATAAGCCGCATTGAAACAGGCGAATATACACTTTTGCAGAGCCGCGGATGCAAGCATTGCGTCATGGGCAAAAGACACGCACGGACATATCGGCCCTGATGATCAAGAGAAAGTTATCTCGGCCCCGGACAAACAAAGATGACCTCACCGAGAATCAATCCGTCGGAGCGGTTGATGGCCCTGTTCGCGGGAAACGTGGAAGACGCGCTTCGACGGAGGCATTCTGATCGTCGGATGACACCATAGCTTCACTCTAGATTGCAGGAGATGGCCGAAGATCGAAAACAGACGACTTCACGCGTATTGGTCTCCAACACGTGGGTTAACCTGTGTGAGATTCAGATCCAAAGAAGGTACATCGGATGCAGAGGTCTGACGTTTGACCGACCAGATAATTAGATTGATGACACGTACACAAAATAATGATTACCAGTTCTAACGCATTGCGACATTTTCGACAATGCCACCGCGCTGTGACAGACGGAAGAATTCTATATTCCGTCACCACAGCAAGTTCTCCCACAGGCGGTATCGACGTCGAAATCGTTGAAGCCTGCACTAACTTGTTAAGTATTTTGAACAGCTGTCTCGAGGCATGGTCGCTAAACTCTGAATTAGACACAGGACAGGAGTAAATTCGGTCGTGGGCTAGACCATGAGATCATAGGCCTTGTATTTATTCTTGGCCACTCACCATGAAGCGCTCTCGTATACAGGATACACTATGTAAGATAATTGCAATATTGCAAGAGCATATCGAACAAACCTGCACGGCAGGATATGGTCCTTCTTATTCATTTGATTTATAACTGTATAGACATGTGTATTGTCGAGATGGTATGTTACGCAATGGGCTGAACAGCGGACTTCAAAGAGCAAGGCCATTTATGAGTGGAGGACTTACCTACCTGCGTAAAAGTGATGATCATCTATACATAGCAGCTGATACGCAGACAACGCCCTGCTAAGTTGGCTTCGTCTTTACAGCAATGGTTCCCTTCTGAAATTTTTATAGGTCAGACTGTCCCGGTCCACAGACAACATTGACCATACTACGTCGCAGGAAGTTGCGATCGGACTCCGGACTCGGCCACGTGACGCAACCTTGAAGTCGCGCTCGAGTCCGAGAATCGGAGGACCAAGTGGTATTCGCGTTTGTCCGCCTACCATAATCACCGCTTTCTCTGAGGTGTCAGGCCAACCTATCATCTACCTGCGTACAGTGGCCTATGTCTTTTCTACCGGCTGAAATGTCTGAGCACATGCTGAGATACCTGAAGTACGTCGAAAACCCTATGACTTGAGCCGCTAATGGCTAAAGCACCCTCGGTTCTTTCGGCTCAATCCTCCTAAGAGAATCGACATCCTCTGCTGGGCCTCTCATGAACGCCTATTGCACTTGATACCTCTATATTCTACTGGCTCTCTGAGAGGTTGGCACGTCGTATCGAGGCATGGCAAGCGAAGGCACTCGGGTATCACGAAGTCCGTCAGGAGCTCTACGTACGCCTACGGGAATATAATTCTCAAGGATTTATGTGGAGTACTTCTAGTCAAACATGCGGGTCTGCTTGTGGAGATGAGTATACCAGCTTCTCGATATGTTAGACCAGATTTGACATTGAGGCTCTCCTTCCCTCTGCAGCGCCCTTTAGATGTTGGCTGAGCGTGATGATTAGTGCCTACGAGGTCCTCCACATTAGGGTGTAATTACGCCGGCATGCTCCACAGTATCACATGCATAGACGGACATCCTGCATGCAAGTATTCCGTGTCGTGCTCTCGAAGCTCTCGAAGCTCTCGAAGCTAGCGCTGACGTGGTTCAGACGCGTCGTTATCTCGGGGGTTTTCATGGAACCGATACATCATGCCCTCTGCTGTTCCAGGAGCTCTCGTACAAAGTCTACCCTGTCGCGTATGTCCTTCCTTTCCTCTCCGATACACACAAACGGAATCCCGAGCTCCTCCATTACAGCGAACAAGTGGGTGTTGTAGACCCGTGGATCTTCAAGCGATCGCACTCCGTCGTCCTCAAACCAGTCTTGCACTGGTTGCAACACAACTAGTCAGCCCTCGTCAGTTTTGTACGGTTCTGGAAGACTTGCGCTGCTTACCAAACGTAGACTTCTGGTATAAGGGAAGAACTGCTCTGAAGGCAGGATCGTTCAACAACCTTTTCTGTCGCTCGGCTGCGCCCGCGGCAGTGGATGTCCCAGCGTATACTGCGGGGTCGATTGCGGATCTATCGCTGAGAATGTCCAGTGGAAAATCAATGTTTTCACTATATCTCTTCAAGACAGCCTCCTCCGCTCTGAGTTGCGCCATCATAATTGTATGTTGCATCTCGAATGTGTCTGTGTCATGGCGCGTGAACCCGTGAGTCTTCATGACGTTCCTCGCGACCTCCGTCACGTAGCGCGAGCGGTCTAGACCCAGATCCTCTACCAGAGCATTGCACAAAGTTGTTTTGCCGCTGGAAGAGGGTCCGAGGATGAAGACCGCACGCACAAGACGGTCATATGCATATTGTACATGGCCATCGACAGTGATGCCATTGTCAGTGATTTGGCCAACCTTGCCCTGACAATCATACGGTCCGGAATCGAGTTCTTTTTCCATACTTCCATTGGAGCATCATGAGTCAACGAAACACAACTGTGGGTTACACGTACATCCCGTTGCTTCTCGACAATATCCGCAAGGTCAGCCGGTCTAATGGGGTACGTGCGCGGTGCACGGACTGAAGTCTTGGGAACACGATTCACCATGTGTATACAGAAGCCAAAGAAGTGCTTTCCTCCTTGGGGAATAAGGTTCACGGACGAAGACGCTGGCTGTGCCATGTGTACATATTGCGGCGTCTGCGCGCTTGAGAGAATTTTACCGATTATCTCCGCCTATATACGTGCAATGTCGATGGGCAAGAGTGTTATCGGCTCTTGCCTCACTTGACCTCCAAGTCTTTCACCGATGAGTCCCATCGTGTTGCACAGCAATCCTTTACCCGAGGATGCTACGTGGAGCTTCAATGCTACAGTTCCTCCCCCACGTCGACCCGGATTTGGCAAGCATGTATCATTCTCTCCGCAAGCTATCACTCTGGACATGGTCTCCTTTCCATCAAACCGAATTCTTAATGCAGATGACACGTCTAAGTTCATTCTAGCATCGTTCGAGGCGTTACGATTCCCAAATACACCTGCCTCCACCTCGAGGGAATACATGGTGCGATTGTTCCAGGCAGGGTTCTTTCTGAATGGTGTACAATATCGATTCTACGGCCACAGTAACTCGCAGCTGGTGAATATCTCCATTCGTCGTGAGCCAGGTTCTGATTTAGTATTTTAGCGATCGCGCAGCTGCTTCCTGCGGGAAGCAAGTTCAGACTCAGAGTTGGATGACCGCATTTATAGCTATGGAGAATTCAAAAAGATCATGAATATAGCTAAGCGTAAGTCAGGCATCGTTAGCCTAGACTCGTTTGCTATTTCTGAGTCATCCTCAAGGGGCGAAGAGGATAGGTCTATTATTCTCCAAAGCTGAGTTGGACTGGGACCTCGACCCCCGATGGACGAAGGACATCGATGATATTGTGGTCAACGGCGAGATGTTCTCAGACGGTTGCGGACTGATGTCCAGGCGTTTCGCTGTACAGCTCAGCCGCCACAAGCGGTTCATATTCCATGGCAGACCGTATACACCATGTGTCTTCCAGATACGGTAGGTCTCTTCTTCGCTTGGTTTCGAACAATGCATCTGATTACGAAATGAAGTTACAGAGGGTATAAGGTGAAAGTTCCACTCGATTCAGAACACATACAGAATAATGACGACATCCTTAGGGCGTACTCATGTTACATCCCGAATTGAACCAAGATCATCATGTCCATTTTCGTGCAAGCCAGAGAAAGTTTTCTGCGACCCGCGACAACACATTCTCGATGGTTGATCATTCAGTGCCCTACGCCTTTGGACGACTAAACAACGACATCATTGTTCTTCTTGCTAGTCTTGGGGTCACACCTGAGGCGCTACTTGCAAAACAGGAATCCTATCACCAGTGGATTAGGGCTGCATCATCGGACTGGGAGGTTGCTTTCAACTTCCTGTGCGCGGTGGGGCAGTACGATTTCGCTGAGCGTCTACTTTTGGATGGGATCGAGGCTCAAGGCGTGCAGACGAAGATCAGGGCTTGTCAAATGTCAGAGCTCGCCTCCTTTAAGAAAAACGAGAAGTTTCGCTCTCGGATGATCATTCTCAAGTCTCGCCTTCTATTCGGCGTCTGTGATCCTTATGGCGTCTTACGGGAGGGCGAAGTTCACGTACGTGTCTCGGTGCCGCGGCGCGGCGCCTCTACCCTGACGAATACCCAGGTTATGGTTGTTCGCAATCCCTGTCTTCATCCTGGAGACTGTTTGAAGCTGTGGGCTGTTGACCATCCTAAACTCGCTCATCTCGTGGATTGCGTGGTATTCTCCTCCAAGGGAAAGCGCGCAGCTCCATCCATGAGCTCTGGTGGCGACCTCGGTATGACCATGGTTTTATGTTTGTATCAACTTCTGATCCCGCATGTTGCAGACGGCGACAGATTCCTGGTGATGTGGGACCCGGATCTCGTGCCTAAGAAGGTCGCCGAGGTAAGGATGAACTATGTTTGCACGTATCACGAAGTGTATCATGCTATCCGATTAGTCCTACACCTATCCTGCTCCCAAAGAGCGCGTCGGCACTCAAGTGACACGAGCCGACCTAGCTAAGCACTTCGCGGCATACAATACGTAAGCGACATATTGATCAGGCCGTTGTGAAACCCATAGTATCGCAGGATGGCCCTGGCAAAAATCACTGCCCTGCACGCAAGATGGGTTCGGTGCAGCCCAAAGGGTGCCATGGGCGATGAATGTCAAGAGCTCAACGCTTTGCATTCACAAGCCGTTGATGGCGCCCCCATCAAGATACCAGAACGACTGCTGTCACCACCCGACCCGGATACGCCGTACATCATTGACCTCCTTCAGGAGTCGGCGAAGCACTTCTTTGACAGTTTCATACCCGGCAGACTGCAGTCGGCAAGTCTCCCACCGGAAGCAGCCGAAGTAGTCCTGTCCCGATTCCTGTCGACAGAGAAGTCGTCGCTGTCGGAATACGAGACCCTGACGATGGCGACTGCCTTCGCGAGAAGAAATGGCATTGCTATCCGCCCGTACCTTTGCCACATTGACTTTGGAGCGCTCGCAACGTCCGAGAAACATGCGCTCAGCATGCAGCTGGGCTTGACGCCGGAGAACGATCCTTACATCTGGAACAGGTTCGCTGCAGTCAATTATTTAAGTCGGTTTGCGAACGCTGACAACGCTCAGTCTCATTCGCTCCGAGATTCTGCGGCCTCGGGACCTGGAGAGCCGTGATCTCGGAGGACCCCTGCGGCTACAGAGGCTGTATACGTCGACGGTGCAAGGTCGCGCGGCGTTCTTTGAGTACTTGAAGGAGGCCACTCAGCAGTATAAGCGACGTCTCATTATATTCAAGGTTCGTGCGAGCGATACTGAATGTTCGATGCTAACCTACAGTGGCCTACAGACTGAAGATCGGTTTTCCGTTGGCGTCTTCCTGAGAGGCGACATTCCCTGGGACGATGAGGTATGCCACGCTCCTGCTGGTGTCAACTGGCATTCACCGGTAATATAGCCCGAAATCAACGACAACGTGCTGGTCTGTCCCTTCATGCCGAAGGCATCCGAGATCATGTCAACCTACTGGCGGGGCACGAAAGGCTACAGATTACATTGCAGCGAAAACGCACTCCAGCTATACGACAAGACCAGGGCAAACACTTTCATCTTCATGGTGCGCCCCCCGGAGAAATCCGGGTCTGATGTTGTCACTAGCATCGCGCTGCAGAAGATTTCGGCACGGGTGCAGAGGGTGAGGGCTTCACGCTCACTATCACCCTGAAGTTGTTCATATAACTGTGTGCACGATACCAGCAATGCGGGCGTGTCAACCGGACGCCCATCACCTCGCTGGAAATCCATGTGGTGTCGAACCGGGACCGCGTAGCGCACCAAGCGTTTGATTTGCGCTTCGAGCAGTGAGTATATTGTCTGCCTTGGCTGATCGTGGACGAACGAGGTTGATGGCATTCCAGCGTCCAGACAGACGAGTTCCTGCGCAGGTTCGACAAGACACCTCATCCCTTCAGTGCTAACTCCATCGACTCGTACGATTGGGGAGACGACACGCTCGGGCGGCAGGTCTTTGCGCCAGATGCACCGAAGGACGAGGTCGCCCGCCTGCTTCTCGCCGAGCCGCATGCCACCGTCCGCAGGTACATCGAGCTCGCGATCGAGCACCGCGCAGAGGGCCGCGTCTTCCTCCTGTTCGACATCCTGCTGCACAGGGAGGACGTCCCCCTCGATGACATCGAGGCTTGCATGCAGCAGCACCCCCCGCTCGCCTACTCGGTGCTGAAGCACTGCCTGCCCGCAGGCCCCGCGCGCCTCCCGGACGCGATGGCGCCCCTCGCCACGTCCATCATCCGCAACGTGATCCGCTCGGCGACCCACTTCGGCATCGCCGCCCTCGCCGCCCTCGAGCGGCTCGCGGACGACCTCGCCCGCATGGACCTCGCCGCGTACTTGGACCTCTTGTGGAGCGTCGCGCTGGGCGTCCGTCCGGCCGACCTCGTCCAGGAGCTGCTCCTCGTCCTGCACGAGCGGCGCTCCGCGGGCGAGGCGGAGGACGCCGCTCGGCGCTACGTGTACAAGGCCGCGCTCGGGATCGCGTTCGACCGCGCGGAAGAGGCCGCGGATGCGTGCCCCTGCGACGAGTTCGGGCGCCCGCGGCGGCAGCGCACCGCGCCCACGTTCGCGCGGCTTGTCCCGCCAAAGGCCAAGGAGGACGCCGGTAAGGCCAAGGTAGACGCGGGCAGGGCCAAGGATAACGCGGGTATGGCCAAGGCAGCCGCGGACGCGGGTACGGCCAAGGCGGACGCGGACGCGAGTGCGGACGCGCCCGCCCCCGCCCCCGTGCACGCGGCACAGCTCACACACGTCATGGCGCACGTCCGCGTGGACGCGCCGACGCCGGTCCGGATCCACTCGCACATCCGCCTGCGGGTGGCGTCACCCGAGGAGCGGGCGGGCCCGACGGTGGGGGTGCGCGCGGCGGTGCTCGACGCGGTGGTGCTGCGCGCGGGGCGGGGCGAGCTGTATCTCGAGCTGCGGCACCCCCTGCCGCCCGAGTACGCGCGCGTGGACTGGCACGTGTACGACGCAGGGAGCGTGGCGACGGCGCGGGCGATGATGGAGGCTGTCGCCAGGATCGCGGTGGAGGGAGCGGAGTGCTGTGCGTTTGCGGATGTCGTCGTGGGCGTTGCGGGCGACGACGACGAGGCGGGTGAGCCTTTCGAAGAGGAGGCGGTTGAGCCATCCGATGCGGCTCGGCGGTTCGCGGCGTCCGCGTCGCTGAACGAGAGTCAGCAGGCTGCAGTCGCGTCTGCGGACAACGGTGCCCTGGCGCTCATTTGGGGACCCCCGGGTAACGCCATGCCGCTTTGAGTGAGAGTGTGATGGTGTCGCTGACACGACTGGCCAGGAACGGGGAAGACGACGGTGGTGGTGCAGATCCTGGCGCGATTCCTGTCGCAGGACCCAGAGTCCAAGATCCTGATGACGGCGTCCACCCACAACGGTGCGTGTCCGGCGCATGTGCGGCATCGGCGCTGACGTGCGTTCTGTTGCAGCCGTCGACAATGTGCTGGAGCGCTTCCTGGCGGAGAACGAGGCACGGGGCCTCCTGGAAGACGCACAGATCCTGCGCGTGGCGACGGACAGCGCGCGGGTGAACAAGGGCCTGCAGAAGTACACGATCGACGCGCGCGTGGGGGGCAGCCTGACGGACAACCCGCGGCTGATGCAGAAGGCGGAGCAGCGCGCGCGGGAGGCGCGCATCGTGTTCACGACGTGCGCGGGCGCGGGGCTCGGCGTGCTGCGCGGCATGGACTTTGCGACCGTGCTCGTCGACGAGGCGTCGCAGGTCACGGAGCCCGTCGCGCTCATCCCGCTCGCCAAGGGCTGCCGGCAGGCGGTGCTCGTGGGCGACCAGTGCGTGCCCGTTGTCCTTTGCGCGATGTGGGGCTTGCGCTGACTGGCGTGTGCGTGCGGGGTGTGCGTGTGCAGCGTGCAGCTGCGCCCGACGGTGCGGCCGATGGGCAAGGCGCTCGAGTTCGACCGGTCGCTGTTCGAGCGGCTGTACACGGGCGCGGCGTGCGCGCGCGTGCGGCGGACGATGCTGGACGTGCAGTACCGGTTCTCGGCGGACGTCGCGCGCTTTCCGTCGCACGAGTTCTACGAGGGCCGCCTGCGCACGGGCGCGGGCGCGGGCGGGCCGCTCGCGGGGACGGCGTTCCCGTGGCCGCAGGAGGGCGGGCGCGCGGTGCCGGTGGTGTTCGTGCCGTGCACGGTGGAGGAGGACAGCGGGCGGGCGTCGAAGGGGAACACGGGGCAGGCGGCGCTGGTGCGGCACATCGTGGCGCTGCTGCGCACGCGCGCTGCCACGGAGGCGGGCGCAGGCGAAGACGCTGGAGCGGCGCGGGCGCTGTCGATCGCGGCGCTGACGCCGTACGCGCGGCAGGTGCAGCTGCTGCGGGACGTGCTGCCGACGGGGGCGGGGGCGGACGTGGTGGCGAGCACGATCGACGCGTTTCAGGGGCGGGAGGCGGACGTGGTGGTGCTGAGCACGGTGCGGGCGAACGCGACGGGGGAGATCGGGTTTGTGGATGACGGGCGGCGGCTGAACGTGGCGTGGACGCGCGCGCGGCGCGGGCTGATCGTGGTGGGGAGCCGGGCGACGCTGGAGGGCGGGAGCGCGCTGTGGGGGCGGGCGCTGGCGGCGTGCCGGGAGGTGGTGATCGAGCTGCCCGAGGCGGACGCGGGCGCGGTGTGAGACGCGGGCGCGGTGTGAGACGCGGGCGCGGTGTGAGACGCGGGCGCGGTGTGAGACGCGGGCGCGGTGTGAGACGCGGGCGCGGTGTGAGACGCGGGCGCGGTGTGAGACGCGGGCGCGGTGTGAGACGCGGGCGCGGTGTGAGACGCGGGCGCGGTGTGAGACGCGGGCGCGGTGTGAGACGCGGGCGCGTGTATATATGAGATCAACTAGCAGATGCCCGCGCGTTGCTGCGGACAACAGTGAACAGGCCAGAATGTTGCGTTGAATACTCAACACATGACGTGTATCTGGCACGGCCTGAGTGCGAGCACTGTGCGGGATGCCCGCTTCACAGAGTTTCTGCATAGGTAGCAAGGTATGTATGTATGTAGGCATTCAGCATTAGTAAATTGAATCCCGAGACGTGCATGTAGTTCCTGCTGCAGCACGCTCTCTGCGTCTGCATTGTGCTCTCAGCGCGCGATCCGGCCGTCGACGGGCCGGCACGCGATGCCTACGCTCGCGAGGTGTTTCTCCCACTGGGGCGCTGCGGGCAGCTGCGCCGCCTCCCGTGCATGGCTTTGCAGGAGTGTGAACGCGTGCGTTGGGACGTGTGGAAGCGTGAGCGACTCCCAGCGACCCCAGCCGGGGTCTGGCAGCGCCGTGCTCAGCTCGGGTGCAAGAATTGGGCACTCCCGCCTGTCATCGAGCACCTGGCAGCCAGGGCGATTGCGACCACTTCGAGCACCCGGCGGAGAGGTTCCTGTGATGAAGTATGTTTCGTCCCCGTTTGATAGCAGCTCAACCCCAGACCGAACCTGCAGAGCCCATTCGGCAGGGTCAGTCCACACTCCGACTCGGCTCGCCAGAGGCAAGGATGCACTGTCTGCGAGATGCGCAGTCAAATGCTGATCTGCTCTTGTGCATCTGAAATTTGGTCACAGTATGCCCGCCTTTATGTGCAGTCCAAGGCTAACTTGCAAATGTTCGTGATGCGCGATGAATCGACGAACTAAAACTCTGAGCGACAACGATCGATGAACACGATGCTTCACTCGCTGAGAAAGCCCGAATATGTGGCGACATGCGTGCCCGAATGGCAACGCCCGAACGAACGAGTCTCGAAGCGGGTTCGAATGACCACGCACATGTGTTCTCGTCTCCACCGTATGCAGAGCTCAACCTTACCTGTTGCTTGCGTACCTTCGGTCGCGAATGTGGTTCGAGTAATGAGTAGATGGCGGGGGTTTGTGCGAGAGAGGGAAGATGCATTGTTCAACGCCGACGCCAGCTTATAAGAGTACAGGGGAGGTCTGACGGGAGAGACATCATACCGTGTCTGCGAGGAGTGAACGACGTGTATAACAGCGAATGATCGTCCAAAAACAGAAGACGACATTCTACATCAGGATGGAAGCCTCGTCTTGGGCACAGACAAGCGAGACTCGACGCCTCTAGATCAAGTCCGCGACTGTGCATGTCTCGCCACCTCAAAGGAGTATGCCTCCGGCGCGTCATAGTTATGCTCGCAACCTGCAGCCCTCAGAGGTATGATAATGCTGGCACCCTCGATCAGCCTACGACAGCCGCTTTGTCACCCCCTCGACGCCGTCGTTGCAAGTTCTAGAGTCGTCAGAACAGAAAGTTGAGAGAAAGAACAGAGGCGAACGATACAGCGACGAGCAGAAGAAAGGAAAGAAAGGAAAAGAAAGGAAAGGACCCGAATTTGTCGACGTTATTCTTCTGGCTTGAGCACGCTTTCCTCCACCACACCGGGCGTGTGCATGCATGCACGGCACTACTATCGCATCAGGATCAGGGTGGTGTGGTTGCATTCCTGACGCCTCCGCTCCTATCAGTATATTCCAACCTGTGTGATGAGCGTGATTATCATAGGTAGCACTGACTGACCATGTCATTTCACAATATATAGCAGTCGTGCTCAAAGATGAGGTTCAGTTGATGTTTTGTACCTCTACTGAAGCTCGTCAGTCTGGTCCTATGTTTTACGTACTGTACATACACTAACCTCCTGTGAAGTGTCTGACAAGTGTTTGGTACGGTGGAATAGAGTTGATGCTTCATGCCTTTACTGAAGCTCTGACCAAGTGTTGTGGCCCTTTGGACATTGCTTGTCCCTCATCAAGAAATCAGATGGCATGCAGATAAGCCTGTGGTTTTATTCCTGAACTGCGCCATCTATCCGCACAGCGAGCCCAGGTTTATACAGCAAAGAGCCGTTGGAGAAGCTAAAGGTATATGGTACGCAGGTCTCAGGAGCGTGCCACATGATCGGGTCAAGCAAGAGCCAATGAGGCCGCATTGTCCACTCCCGTGGAAAAACGTCGCCTTCGACTGATGAGCGCTGGCGTGGGCGCTAACCTCGGAGGGCCAAGACGGGGGTCGGCCGCGATCGATCGGACGCCAAGCCCACGGAAATGGTCAGCACGTCACGGAGCGTGAGTTGTCGCTGTCAGCCGCTGCCATTGCACTGACCGCTGCTGGTGTCTGCTTAGGCACGGCTGAGTGAGGTCTCCTCCTCCGCGGCCGCCGTCCAGCCATGGCCTCCCTCTACAAAGCAGCAGGGCGCCCCTCCAACGGCAATGAACTATCTCAGAAGCCTCGCCGACGTTCTGCTGCACGCCCTGTCACTCACGCCTTCTGCGACGATGACGATCCAACGCCCCAAGGAAGACCTGCCGCCCTTTGACCACGCGTCTGCGTCGACGTACACTGAGCCTCCGACCCCCGGCTGGACACTCGCTCAGCCGCTGTCGGCCACGCCCGAGGGCCGTGCGTGGCTCGCCGGCGAGAAGCAGGGCTGGGAGGTGGTGCACGCGGACGACGCAGATCCTTAGTACGTCCCGGTGCGCCTGTCTGTGTCCACCGCTGACGCCTTCTGCAGCCGCATCGTGCGTCGCGTGCTTGCGCCTGTCGCTGCTGACTAACCATTGCGCACAGTACCAGCTGATGGTCGGCGGCGTCGTCCCGCGTCCCATCGCATTCGTGTCCAGCGTCTCCGCCGATGGCGTTGAGAACCTGGCCCCGTTCAGGTGCCCTTTTGCGCACTCCCCCTGCGCTCCGTGCTAATCCCCGCACAGCTGGTTCAACATGGTCACCTCCGATCCCCCGGTCATCTCGCTCGGCCTCCTCCACCACCAGCCCACGGCAGACGCCTCCGCGCTCAAGGACACGGCCGCCAACATCCTCGCCACGCGCGGCTTCACCGTCAACCTCGTGTCCGAGCCCTTTGCCCAGCACGCGAATGCCTGCTCCGTCAATGCGCCCCCGCACGCGAGCGAGTGGGTGCTCAGCGGCCTCACCCGCGCACCCAGCGTCAGTCCCCCGTGCACGCGCACGCACTCTTTCATGCGCTAACGCCCGCATAGATCCACGTCGCGGCACCGCGCGTCAAGGAGAGCGCATTCAGCATGGAATGCGAGGTACGTCACCCGCCCCCGCACACGCGCGCGCACGCTGACGTCGCCCCGCCCCAGCTGTACGCTGCCCACCCCATCACCCACCCCGTGACCGGCCTCATCACCACCACCCTCGTCCTCGGCCGTGTCCGCGCCCTCCACATCCGCCGCGACACCCTCGACGCCCGCGGCCGCGTCGACACGCGCGCACTCCGCCCCGTCGCGAAGATGGGCGACATCTCCTACGCCCGCGTCGGCGGCCTCTTCCGCGCACCCCGCCCAGAGTGGGCCGACGCCGAGCGCGTCCTCCTCGCCGCCAGCAGCAGCGCCGCCGTCGACGTACGCGAGGACGCCCCCGCGGCAGACGCAGACGCACAGTCCTCATCTTAGATGGTCCGGAAAGGCTCCCCCAGTCGTATACCATGTAGACGCTCCGCACGATATATATCCTGTGTTAGATGATAGACTTGCGCCGTGCAGCGCCCGCGTCCACTTCATGCCCTGGCTGTGTGCATCATGCACCATGTAAGGCCTGCGGGACCCGGATGATTTTGGCATGCAAGGACCATCCGGATAGCCTCTCTACTTGCAGCCTCCTCGCATGGCGCCAAGTGTCGGAAGGGCCGGCTTCTCATAACCTAGCAGCATCTGGCGAGGGTCCCTATCTGCAACATAGCAGATCCGCGGATAATAGCTAGCGCAATAGCCCCAGACGGACAAACTGGGTTCTTTGCCAATGAGCAGGTTTGGTAGTTGATAGCTTTATGTAGCGAGATTCCATTTATCAGTAGACTATGTTCAAGCTATTTACGAGGACTGAGCGTGGAAACTGCAGTTCTTATTGGTATTTTGCCTACTCGTGCTAATACTAGTGTCCTACGTGCGCCATCGAACAGCCCACCTGCAGAAAGGCATTACTGCCATCATTCAGACGAGAGATTGCACACATATGTCGCATCACAACACTCTGCCTAACATTGACCAGCGCTGGGTGCACACACAATCCTCTCAGGCCCCCCCGCATCACCAAGCTCCCTGTCATACGTTGGTCTTAGACAATGGCGCGAACACACCCAAAGTTCTTCGTGTACGCATCTTTGCTCTTGAAGATAGGCTGACAGACGTGGGGCAAGCACCTGGAGGAGCACAGGCTTGCTCGGGGGCAAAGCAAGCAAGAAGACTACAGATGACACTGCGATGCTCGAGAAAATGCTCGTAAAAGCACCTGCTGCTTCTGACAATGAGCTAGATTGTACTGCGCAAGTATCGCCTCCGGAGGAGGGCCTATGAGACAAGAGACAGGCATACTCACTTACCCTAGATGTCTTGTATACTTATGGCGACGGCGGGGTTACTTGGCTCGACATGTCTGCTGACGAAGGTTCTGCGAGGGCAAGGCGGGACAGCAGTGAGAATGGGTAGGTTCGACCTTCCATGGCAAGATGTACCCCAGACGACTTGACCGAGTGGCTGTGCAGAACTCGCACAATGTTAGGCCTTGTCAATGCATCACTCGAGAGAGCCGACGTTCGCCGCACGTCACGCGCGTGCGCATGCACCAGTCTGCCTGGCCAAGGGCGTATGGTGCGCGCGGCCGCGAGACAAGTGCGCCAGCCAGCCAGTACCTCTCGCCGCGTGTTGTTCTTTGCGCCTCTGCCAGAACGCCGGTTCAATGAAAAAGCGCAAGTCATACAGGCTCGGCAACTCTCGCACCCAACGCGTCGCCCGCGCCCGCACCCTCCAGCGCGCGCACGCCCGCCTCGCGCCACCACGTCTCCGCCTCCGCCTCCGCGTCGTACCCGAACTGCGCGTCCGTCTTCGCGCGGTCCGCCCACTGGTTCGGGTTCCCCGCCATCCCGTCGTCACCATCGCCTTCACCACCGCCTGCACCACCATCCCTGTCGCCAGCCGCACGCGCACGCGCACGCAATACCGCCTCCATCGCGCGCCGCATCTCCGCATCGCGCGCGGCCTGCGCCGGCCCGTCCGCCATGTGGAACACGCCCTGGTTCGCCCGTGCCGCCGCCTGCGTCGCCGCCGTGCGCGGCCCGCGCAGCGCACCGTACGCGCGGAGCAGTGTGGGCAGCTGCGCGCGCGCGGAGAGGTGCGCGAGCAGGCGTCCTAGGAGCGCGGCGTCCTCGAGCGCCATGGCGGCGCCTTGCGCGCGGTACGGCTGTGCGGTATGAGCGTGAGTGAGGCACGCGGGGGAGAACGCGGAACGGGGCGGCGTGTCCGACGCACCAGCATGGGGTGGCACGCGTCCCCGAGCAGCGTCACCCGCCCCGAGGGGTGCGTCCACGCGGCGAGCGGCAGGCGGTCCATCAGTCGCCATTTGAGCGTGGACTCGACGAAGCCCAGCAGCTTGCGCACGCTGTGCGGAGAAGGTCAGCCGGCATAGAAGCACGCGTCCGAGCGGGGACGGGGACGGGGATGCGCCTACATACCGCGGCTCAAAGTCCGCAAACTCGGCGCGCATCTTGTCGGCGCTGCCCGTGGCCGTCCACGACTCGACGGAGCCGTCGTCGGGGTGCGCGAGGACGAGATTGTAGAGCTGCTTCGAGCGCTGCGGGCGCGTGAGCCCGGACCCGGACGGGGGCGCGCGAGCGCGGCGGGGGGCGACTCACAATGCTATAGCCCACGGCGTGCCGCCCGGGCGCCATCCATATCGTCATCTCGGGCGTCTCGACGAGCGTACGCAGCTCCGGGTCCGCGAGCAGCTTCTCGCTCGGGATGAGCATGCGGTACACCGCGTCGCCCGTCGCGCGCGCGGGCTGTGCGTGCCCGAGCACGACCGTCTGCACGAAGCTCTTAATGCCGTCCGCGCCCACGACGAGGTCGCCGCGCACGACCTCGCCGGACGCGAGCGTCACCGCCGGCGCGGCGGGGTCCACCGCGACCACCGCCGCGCCGAGGCGCAGGGTGATGTGCGGCACGACGAGGTCGTACAGCAGCCGGTGGAGGTCCGCACGGTGCACGTTGTACCACGGCTCGCTGCTGGGGTCGCGGAAGCGGCCGAGCGGCGTGTAGCCCACGCGCGCGCCCGTCGCGTACCGCCGGAGGACAATGGCCTCGGGCTCGACCGCCACCGCGTGCAGCGCGTCGCGCAGGCCCCAGCGGTAGAGCAGCCGCGAGACGTTCGGGGAGACTTGGATGCCGGCGCCGATCTCGCCGATGGCGGTGGCGGACTCGAGGATGGTGACTTTGTGCCCCGCCTGAATGAGGCAGTGCGCCGCGGCGAGACCTCCGAGGCCGCAGCCGACGACGAGGATGTGCAGCTGGAGGGCGGCCTTGCTGGGTTCTTCTGTGGACATTCGAGTAAGGAGTGAGAGCCCTGAGATACGACGGCGCTCGAAGACATCATGGAGGGATAAACACTTTGGCCGCCTACCACAGTATAATGGCGAGGACGGGACGGCCCGGCTCGACATGTCTGCTGACGAAGGCTCTGTAAGGGCAAGGCGAGACAGCAGTAGAGAGAATGGGTAGGTCGACCTTCCATGGCGAGATATCCCAGGCGACTTGACCGACTGTCTCACGTCCATGGAGGTAAATACAGCCAAGAGGCGACGACCATCTAGCTTTCAGTCCATGGAAAGACAGATGACAGGGAGAAGAAGCGCGCCGTGGTTCTTAATCAACACTGCAAAGTGTACAGACCATGACAAGCCGGGCCAGGTTCAACGCGCCAACGATATGCTGTAATCGGCGTCGAGTTGCTTCGCGTTCGGCAGTCCTTGTCAGGTGAGGACTGGTACCACGGCATGAGACCTGGCGGGTGTATCTGTACGTGTGAACAGCCTAATTTTGCAGACACCTTCAGCCAATAGTGTTCCAGTACTCAGCGAAGGGTGGAAGACAAGTCTTCTTGTTGAACTAGATTCTGCAGGTACGAGACATATCTTGACGCTCGAGATGCGCAACCCCCAACGGTTGGGCGTACAGTTTCGCAATCTGAGGTGTTGACGAGTATAGAGTTCCTACTGTAAGCGTGAATCGGTGACGGTACTAGGTGTCCAACTTAATCGCCGTGCAGCAGACCTTCAGCAGCCTTGAAATTAAGTGAGAGAGCCGATGTAGATATCTCAAGGTAGTTCACCAACTTGATAGTTGGCAACGGCGTTTCGCGCAAACCATAGGGACTCAGAGTTCCCACGCGTTACAGATCACTACATGTAAGAACGAGGTGGAGAGGGTATTTGTACACTTACTGGGACGCCTATGGCGCTATTTACAAGCTATCGAGCAGTACTTAGGCGTCGCACTTGCTCTTCGCAAAATAGGGCATTTCTGACTACGTCTTGTTATTCAACTCTAAATGCTGGATTCGTAAAATTCGTTTCTATCTACGTAGGGAAACAATACACAAGGGTACAATAAGAATAAGACTATGCGCATGGAACAAAGAATATGAGAGTAGATCAGAGACGCTCAAACGTCAGTAGCAGGGCTGTACGAGACGACGTAGACATCTGTCTTCTCCCCGTCTACGTCCATGACCTTCTCATCCACCTCCATCTCGCCAACACTGCTCGTGTCCTCGCGTGACACCGCAAACTCGTGCGCCAGCTGTTCCCACGGCATGTCCGGGTCCATGTTGTCCAACGGGCGGAGCTTGCACAAAACAACGTACACCACGCCAGCGACAGCCGCGCTGAGGTACCAGCCGATCTCGTCGAGCTTCGTCGCTGCCGCGGGGACCGGGACACCGAACGTGCCAACGAAGCCCGTGAAGGGGATGATCATGCCGCAGAAGTACGCGAAGCACGCATTGATGCTGAACCCGTGCCAGTACATATACCGTGCGCCGCGCGCGGAGCTGTATGCATCCATGATGTGGATATTCCCCCGGCGCACAATCCAGTAGTCTGACATCATGATCGCAGCGGTCGGCCCCATGAAGATGCCGTAGCCGTCGAGGAACGCGAGGAAGCCGTCCGCGGACGCGAGAATCTTCCATGGCTGCAGCGGCAGCGCAAGAATGCAGCAGAGCCACATCCCGCGAGGGATATTGAAGTACGCGGGGAGGAGCGCGGTAATGTCGGACGAGAAAGGGAGCAGGTTCGCGCCGATGATTGCGCCAAAGTTGAACAGCGCGGCGCAGAACGCGAGCAGGAAGACCGCGAACCGCATCTTGCCGTCCCAGGTGTGTTCGAGCATAGCATCGAAGACATCCCACTGGTTCCAGATCGTCACTCCCCAGGCCTTCTCCAGCGCAGCAGTGCCGAAAATACCGATCATTCCCCCCTGCGCGGAATATGAGCGTCACAATAGAGTGTGAAATGGAATAGGATACATACGATGGCTGCGGGGAATGGCACGAAGAGAATGTGTGTCCAGAACACGGCTTTAGGGTTTTTCGCGTACCGCGAAAAATCGGGCATGTTCGCGATGAAGGTTGACTGTATATATCATTAATTACACAACCGCGGCTCCAGCAGCACCCTACACACCCAGTTACCCATGCACGAATTGATGGAGCTGACCCACAGCCATGCAAGAACGGAACCTTTTGGGAGAGCAGTTGTCCCAGCCAACGCTGCGGTGGACCCCAGCTCGCCCTTACTCTGCACGAGGCAGTAGATAAGCAGGCCGATGACAGAGGGGGGCAGTGTCCACGCCTTGAATGTGTATAGCCAACGCAGCTGTGTCGGGCGGAGGCAGCAGAAGGGGAGCTCGATCGCCCAGAAGATGAGGAAGCCGACGAAGCGCTGCACCGTCGTGCCGACAGAATTAGGGAACTGCACGGCGAGGTTGTTCCACTTCTGCCCGACAACGCAGTGGATCATTGTCGAAACAAAGGCACCACCTTGGAATGCTGAGGTCAAATGCCGTCAGAAGGTGCACCGGCAAAGGCAAAGGAACAAAAGCAGACGTACTGATGACGGACACCCACACACATGCGCAGACTGCACGCGCCAGGACGGGCCAGTAATGGCCATACATGCCAAAGCAGGTGCGCAGGATGACGGGGTAGCCGACGTGGTAGTTGGCAGCCGCACGCGAGTTGAGCGCCATGCAGGTGCCGGAGACGAAGGCGGCAATCCAGACGGCGATGGTCGCTTGCCACCACGAGAGACCTGCCCCGACAAGACTGGAACCCAAAGTCCTATGTGCGGCGTCAGAAATCAGTCTCCTCTCTCTAGATATATGGGATGTGAGACGCACCAATTGCCAAAGCCCATGCCAAACCAGAAGAGACAGAAGTTGTACCACTGCCAGTTCACCATCTCAGGTGGGGAGGGCTTCAGGTCCTCGTTTGTCCATGAGTGTTGAGCATGAGCGTTGCCGTCGGTATGAACGTATTGAAGGAAGGCCTCCTTGGATTGGAACGCACCGCAGAGCCTTCCAGCCCAACTGCGAACGGGTTGGACAACGTTGACCATCGTGCCGGTTGGGGTGAAGCTGAAGGCAGCAAGGAGCAGGACCAGGACAGCAGCGACACAGCACGAGCCGCGTCCGCTTTATATAGCAGGGAATCATGAGCGCGGCAAGTTAGAGGATAGGCGACGCGAGGCACGCTCCATAGAAATGGACGATAACGGCCGGCCGCTGATAAGTCGCGGTAGGTTGATCTTTGCAGCACGTCGTGAGGATTGGAGTCTACTCACGATCTGTAATAACCCTGCTTTGGTAGAGTGTGGTTCAGAGCAGGAAGGTTGTCTTCAGCAAGATAATGTGCTGTAATGCTTTTGAATCATTGTTGTCCGTGCATAAACGCGTCTGTGGCTGAAGATCTCAGGTCAGATCTCCCTCTCGCATGGATCAATCTCCCTGATACGGAGCGGAGGTCACCAAATGACCTTAAAACAGTCACATAATAATCTGGCTCTTATCTTAGGGGTTCGTCCTCAAATGCCTCCGTTGATAGGGTATCTCCCTTTGAGTGAAGCTGCAAGCGGCTTGTGCGCATTGACATGTACATTCGAAATATCTAATGCGGCGGTATTCTATGAGTTTTGTACAGTCGGACCAGTACTCATAATGTTAGCCGCGACATTGATAACCTAGCAGCGGACATTGTCCTCAAATTATCATGCGGCATACAGTGGGGGCTTCTGTCAAAGATTAGACCCAACCACTGATCCTAAATCCCGAACTAACACTACCTGCGCACACATGTTCTCGAACGGATCACAATATGTATTCGGCTGAGATCCAATGAACCTCAGGAGAAGCAGCCGATAGAGAGCCTGATCGAGTACGATCGAGCGTAGTTCGGATATCAAACAACAAAGCTTTGGAGCCTTACCCCATGCATTCGTTCTTTAGCACATTTTGTTTCCTCTCCGGTTCAGATAAAACTGCCCCTAGATAAGAGCTCGCGTACGTCGGCACTCCGTACCTCAATGTCCAACACTAAAGGGTTTTGACCAAGACTCCCCGAGGGCGAAAAGGGCGAAATCGTAATACACGATCAATGAAGTGCTGCTCACCTCAGTTTCGAGTCTATGTTATCTCGATCTAGTGTGTGCTACTATTTGACTATACATTAGCGATGGTCGGGATTCATGCCGCCGTCCAATATGAAGATATACGGTGACAGAGGTGAAGTTTGGTCACGCCCCTCCGGAACAGCAGTATCAATGTCTCTCTCAGGGCAATTGCCCGTATCTGACAGAGCAGAAGTAGATGTGCTTAGGACGGAGGTCCGCTAGTACTCTGTCTTTCCGACGGGAAGACGCTTAGCCGTGCGAATGTCACAAGGAGCATTAAGTCAGGGACAGGATTTCACCTTTTTCCGACGGGAAGACATAAACTCGTCCGAGTCTGCTCCTTCGCAGTTCAACAGGGATCAACGCCGTGGTACGCGCCACCCTCGAACTGTCGTTCATGCTCATGCTCATGTCCAGTTAACAGCGTCAATCGGGATGTATTTTCGTTGAGTGGTACGGTGATTCTATTGCGGCCTCTGTGCTGCGAGTGTACACGGGGCTCCGCAAGGGGTACGTTTACAGTCGTAATCTAAGAGTGATCGAGCACAGGCACGATGAAACAAAAACACTAGGTGACTCATGATTTCCAGGTACGAGTCTCTGAGCTCAGCCAGTGAAATAATGCAGTAAATGCGTACACAGTACAAAACCGAACGGATGAAGGCCTGCAGCCAAGGCTGGCATAAGTCAAGGACAAGCTTGCTGGGCACGGCGGGACATGCAAATTTTGAGTGATCACAGCCCCGGCTCGAAGGTAATTTGTTACAAGAGCGGGAGCTGACGATTTCTATGCTGTCCGCTGCGACGGATTGCATTCCAGGAAGAATGGCAACGTCTAGCTGCTAATGATACAGCATCGAGAATTGTTCGTGCTGACCCGGACAACAATATCAGTGCGCTGAGAGCAAGGTCACCAGGGGGAAAAGCACACGCACCTCGACGTCGACATATGGGGACGCCTTGAGTGACGCATTCAGTTCCAAAAAGAAATGAAAGTCGCAGTCCTCTGCTCAGACAATGCTCACCCGCTATTCCCGCACGAAGATATCATGAGTGGAGATGTATTCGTGACAACGTATGACAGCAGATTAACACATGACGATAGCGCGTAGGTAGCAATTGTTATACTATATAGTGCATGCGAGAGGTGGCGGGCGGGGTGACCAATGCGATAATGATGGTTAGGTGGGGGGGCATGATGAGTGCGACAACGGAGCCCCAGAATTAGCTGACATGATACTTTTGCGGTGTTGCGCCTTCGCACGACGCAGCGCGAGTAAATCGCTTAGCAGTCGATGACGACGGCCCTAGCTGTGAGCATGCGCTTAGAAGCCCATACCACCCATACCACCCATACCGCCCATGCCACCGGCAGGCTTCTCCTTCTCCTCTGCCTCGACCACGCACGCCTCGCTCGTCGTCAACAGGCTAGCAACACCTGCGGCATCAACCAGCGCCGTGCGCACCACCTTGAGCGGGTCAACGATGCCGGCCTTGATCATGTCGACATACTCCCCGCGGCTCGCGTCGTAGCCCCAGCTGAACTTGTCCGGCGCGCCGTACGTGCTGAGTAGCGTGCCGACAATCACGCTCGCCTCCTCGCCCGCGTTGTTCAGGATAGTGCGCGACGGGTACGTCAGAGCGCGCTTAATGATGCCCACACCGAGATCCTGGTCAAAGTTCGCTGTCGCGATCGGCTTTGCATCCGTCGCGCTGGGACTCGCATTCGCGCCTGCGCTCCCTGGCGCTTTCGACGCGAGCGCGAGCGACGCCTTGAGCAGCGCAACACCACCGCCAGGCAGGATACCCTCCTCGACCGCCGCACGCGTCGCGTTGAGTGCATCGTCGTAACGGTCCTTCTTCTCCCCGACCTCAACTTCGGAGCTACCGCCGACCTTGATGACTGCAACACCGCCGCTCAGCTTGGCAAGGCGCTCCTGGAGCTTCGTGCGGTCGTACTCGCTCGTCGTTGGGTCTGCGATGAGTGAGCGGATCTGCTCGCAGCGAGCCTGGATTGCGTCCTTGGCACCTTCGCCGTTCAGGATGATAGTGTCCTCTTTCGTGACCGTCAGGGAACCCGTCGAGCCGAGCATATCCGGGGTGATGCGGTCGAGCTTGATGTCCAGCTCGTCGGTGAAGACCGTGCCGCCAGTAAGGATGGCCAGGTCACCGAGGATTGACTTACGGTTGTCACCGAAGCCGGGCGCCTTGACCACACAAACCTGAAGCTGGCCGCGAAGCTTGTTGAGAATGCACGCCGCGAGAGCCTCGCCGTCCACGTCCTCGGCGATGATGAAGAGCGGGCGACGCTGCTGCGCAGACATCTCGAGCGCGGGAAGGATGTCCTGGAGCGCACTGATCTTCTTTTCGCTAAGGAGAATGAGCGGCTTCTCAAACTCGACCTTCTGGCTCTTGACGTCGGTGACGAAGTAAGGGCTGAGGAAGCCGCGGTCGAAGCGCATGCCCTCTGTAATCTCGATTTCGTCCTCAATCGTGCGTCCCTCCTTAACGGTAATGACACCCTCCTTGCCGACCTTCTCCATGGCCTGAGCAATGAGATTACCGACATGGGTGTCGCCGTTGGCGGAGATAGTCGCGACCTGTGCGATCTCGGCAGTGGTAGTGATCGTCTTTGCGTGCGAAGAGAGGAACTCGACGACACGGTCAACGGCAGCCTGGGAACCGCGGCGGAGGTCCATGGGGTTGCAGCCTGCGGCGACGTTCTTGACCCCCTCGGAGTAAATAGCACGGGCGAGGACAGTCGCAGTTGTGGTACCGTCACCAGCAACCTCGTTCGTCTTCTGCGCAACGTCCTGGACAAGACTGCAGACATGTGAACAACATGCGCATGGGCCGATAGGGTCCGAATGGGCTTACCGAGCACCGAGATTCTCAAATTTATCCTTGAGGGTGATGGACTTTGCAACAGTTACACCGTCTACACGACAAGCACATGTCAGTGAATATGTCCGCGGAGCAATGACGGAGAACATACCCTTGGTGATTTTGGGACCGCCGAAGGACTGCTCGATGATGACGTTCCTTCCTAGAGGCACATCAGTGACGAGGAAACAGTGAGCAGAGGTAATGACATACCCTTGGGACCGAGGGTGACGCTAACTGCGTCGGCGAGGACATCAACACCCTTCAGAATGCTGGCGCGACCATCATTCGAGAACTTGATCTCCTTGTGGGCACCGCGAGCGAGTGAAGGCTTGATGGCCTTGGTCGCTGCACGGCGGAGCACTTTAGAGGAGGACTGGGAGAGGTGGTGCATGATGAAGGTAAGCGACGGCGAGGACGGGGTAGGACGAGAGAGAGATCTGCGACGACGAGCTGCTGGTGCGCTGTCCGCGTTATGAGCAATTTCACGTCGAAGGCTCTCGAATCACGCGTAGCGTCACGCATGACGTGTCACGTCACCCCGTCGTCCCCACGTGTTCCGGGCCAGTCCGAGTCGTGTCGGGGAAACGCGACGTTGCTCAGAGAGGCCGACACCAAGAACGCGAAACTACCGACAAAATAAGTACTGCACTGGAAGCAGACCGAGTGGCTTCTGCCGCTCTATCCTCCAGTCGAGCGCCTTCACGCCGGCAGGCCGTTGCTTGTGGTTGATGCAAACTCCACACTTAGCGACTAATCTCCCTCTCAAATCTCGACGATGCAGCAAGGGTCCTGGGCAGTAGCGGCTTGCTTCGCACTGCTCGCAACTCGGTGTTTGTTCATGTTCCCCATGCTCAAATGCATGTAAAGACCTGCCTGTACGCCCTGCATCGTCACATTTTACAGGTGCAGATTTCGTGGAGCACAGCTTGTTGTGTGTCGGAATAGCTGAAGGTTGGTCTTAAAACGCGCAGGCTGTAGTCTGATTGTCCGAATAGGCCATATGATCTGCATTGCACACTCCGCGACCGCATCTTTCGCGACCATGAATCCTCTCATCTTGCCATCAGCAGGTGTTAGGGAAGATCAAGAAGCTGCGTTCGAGCGTGGCAGTATACCCAGCTCCTATATAGGAAGTGGTCAGAAGGGATATATCATCCCCTTTGGCCCACTCCTTGAATCGGCAACCACAGTCCCGCAGTAGATTGTGCCATCTCTCAAGGCAATCAGTTGCTCTCAGGTGTATCGTGCTAATTCGTCGCTACACTTTCGTCGCCTTGTTTTGGCACACTAATGAACTGCTTCGAAGCAAGCACACTCGGACTGCGCGAGAGCTGTTAAGCAATGCCAGACTTCAGTGGTCATCAGTGAAAGACGATAGTGCTCACCATCCATGACGTAGAAGTTGCGCCCGTTCAATTCGGAACAGAGCAGCCATTGTGGCGAGGGGCCAAGGGGAGAGAACACTGCGAGAATCACAGTCGTTCGTGCTCGCGACTGCACTTCGCAGCAGACGGTGCCGGGAAGGCAGAGGAGCTAGACCCCCATCAAATCCTTTCAAACTTGAGTACTGTTTGCCTATTATCGGGCATTCATCTTAGATTTGTTACCAGTATGTCTTCTGCCCTTCGGCACCGCAGACGATATTGTGAGTCTTTATATTGTGCCGGACGGTGTACGCACTAGCGGCATTATGCACTGCTAGTGAAAAGCTCACGTCACGCACGGAGCAGCTATTGATAGTATGACATTCACGGGGCTGCTCCACTAAGGCCGCTCAAGGTCTAGGACCCAAATTTAAAGACTGCCGTAGAATGAGCCTGTTAACCGGAGCCATGAAGCGCAACGCACCTTCCGTTAGCCAAAGAGAGCCAGAGCGAAGCAGTAACAGCGAAGCGAGCGAGGAAAATATAGATAGATCTATGCATCTATGTCTTCCCCTACTCTAGACACATTTAGAGTATCATCCTTCTCTGTCCGTCTCAGTAACGTTTTCGGGCTGCCCCTCCATTGATAAGTACAACAGATGGGTGTCGATAGAGGAAGTAGCCATTTTGAAGGGCTAGTTCGCCTCTAAATCAAAATCAATTGCAATGGCGAACTCACGTGGCCTCGGAAGCGCCGAATGCCATTGTCCCAATCTTCACGCGCAGATCCCCTTCGCGTTCGTGTCCTGCCACCGCCTCTTGCACAGCTTTTCAGTTCCGTGACTACCAACCTGCGGCTTTGGCAACTCGCAAACATCAGAGCACTTAGCTAGACGATACACCGCACTGCTCCGAAATGGACGCGATCGTTCCGCCCGAGGTCACTGCAGAACTCACCCAAATACTGTCCAATCTTGTCCTGGGCGACAACCAGATTCGCGCAAAGTGTGTCTTCCTCAACATTTAATTATGAATTCTCTCATGCTCTTACAGTGCTGAAGTGGCCGTCAATGACCGCTTGGCACAAACACCAGAACTCTACCTCCTCGCTCTGGCCCAGTTCTCTCTCAATGCAGGCACCGAAGTGGTGAGTTAACCACACGTCTTGGCGCCACACCGACATGACACGGCCGTCTAGATGCGCTCTTTCTCCCTCGTTCTCCTTCGACGGCTGCTTTTCCGATCCTTGCCCAACTCTCGCGTGCCACTGTACGACCATCTCTCAACGCAAAACCTCGCTGCACTCGAGCGCATCCTAATGCATTCACTCATGCACGAACCTTCCCCCATCGTCCGTCGTAAAGCAGTTGACACTGTCACCGATCTCGCCAATGGCTCCATGATTCGCGGTCGGCCGTGGCACACACTGCAGGCGCAGTCCTTCAGTATGGTGAATAGCCCTGAGGCGATCACACGCGAGGCAGCGTACAGGGTGTTTACAGGCAGCCCAAATCTCATCATGGACCTTGAGATGGACTCGGTCCTCGGAGCGCTGCAGAAGGGGTTGTTGGATCCTGAGAGCATCGAGGTGAGAATTCATTTCGCGCTGCTTTCGTCTACGGATCCTGCTATACATTTTATCGCTCCACCGGTATATGCGGGCAAAACTCCACTTATACTTTGTATCTATCCTTTGCTGGCGAATGAGGGTCCCAGCGATGGCCAGAAGCTGCACGTCTCGCAGCTAGCAACGTAGTATCATGCTCTTCAGACTGACGGCGTTGTGATTTGGATGTCGAATGACGACAAAACACGAAGAGCTACTACTCTGCTTACACTGCAACCCGCAGTAGTCTTAAAGACGTGCGAAAATATATCATGAGAGAATCGTACAGAACTCATTTGACTGACCTCGTCGAGTACATGGTTACACTAACGAACATCTTGTACAGGTCCGGCTTGCCGCACTCAATGCCTCCACACAGTTCCTGACCTCGTGCGATATCGGCCAGCAGGCGCAGGCACTTGCGCTGCTCTACCCAATGCTCAACAGTCTGCCTACCATTCCGCACGCACGCTTGCCTGCGTTTCTTGCGGTGCTCACGCCACTCGCGACGACCCATCCGCACCTATTTGAACACCACCTGCGCGCGCTACTCTCATTCCTTCCGGCGCTAATCGCGCCCGCCGTCGACGCGGGCCCGACACCTACTGTCGCGCGCCCGAATCCAGCGGGTGCGAGCAGCTTCGTGTTCCCGCCACCGGCGCAAAATGGGAAGGGCAAGGAACCAGCTGAGGATCGCGAGGCAGCCGGCGAGGCGGAGGAGGTGCGGAAGGCGGCACTCGAGTTCATGATCAGTTTGAGCGAGGCGCGTCCACCGATGGTGCGTCGTGTGGAAGGCTGGACAAGGGCTGTCGTGACTGGGTGCCTTGAGGGCATGGGCGAGATCCCGGAGGACGAGACAGATATTTGGCTCGAGGCTGAGGTGAGCGAGCAGCTATGTGTTCCGATTTGGAGACTTACGGAGTGGGCGTGTAGCCAGGGGACGACCCCACGGACGATACGTACCCGCATGTGTACGAGCAGTCGATTGACCGCCTCGCATGCGCATTGGGCGGGAAGGTGGTGCTGCCGCCGGCATTCCAATCTATCCCTGCGATGCTCGCAAGTCATGACTGGAGATTGCGACATGCGGGCTTGATGGCAATCGCCGCTATTGCTGAGGGAACTAACAAAGTTATGCAGCACGAACTTGGGAAGGTCGTCGAGTAAGTGTTCGAGTGAAGCTTGTCACTCATTTTAACGCTCACTGTTGCCAGCCTCATCACGCCGATGTTCGCGGATCCACATCCACGGGTCCGATATGCAGCTTGTCAATGCATGTATGTATACTTCGTTTCTCAGGGTGCGCGGGTGTTCCCGCTGAGACATGGTTGACAGTGGCCAGCTATGTACCGACCTCGAGGTAAGATAGTCTCGCACCCTCCCATACTTCCAGCCTGATGATCGAATGCACAGGAGATCATCCAAGAACAATACCATCAGCAGATTTTCGCTGCACTTATTCCGACCCTCGAAGCACCAGAGCCTCGGTGAGCAGCATTGTAGCTTTCTTGTTCTCTCTGACTGCCTTCTTGTGCTGATCATTCACTACGCTGCAGAGTACATGCGCATGCGGCTGCGGCGCTCATCAATTTCTGTGAGGGTGTCGAACGCGAGACGCTCCTACCATATTTGGACTCTATCGTCGAGCGCCTGCTTCGTTTGCTCAACCCTGCAGCAGCCGACGGTATGAAGTCGCCAAAGCGATATGTCCAAGAGCAGGTTATTACGACGCTCGCGATGGTTGCCGATGCGAGTGAGGCGACGTTCGCGAAGGTGGGTATCAATTTCCCGTTGTGCGGTGAGGATTCGCAAGGCGTGAACTGATGGTACCTTGTAGCACTATTTGTCTATTATGCCGTTATTGCTTAACGTGCTTCAAAATGCGAATGGGCCGGAATACCGCAAGCTGAGGGTGAAGGCTATGGAATGCGCAGGACTGATAGGTGAGGCTGGCTAGCTAAGAACGTCCTCCCGCCATCATCTGACACTGCTGCACCAGCCATTGCAGTCGGCAGAGACGTCTTCAGACCCGACGCAAGCACCTTTGTCAACTTGTTGATGAATATTCAGAGTACGTGATTCTTTAATGTGTCCTGTTGCTTAGACATCGATGCATTTGGATGCTTGCAGATGGCCCACCCGATCCGGAGGATGCAATGTTGGGCCACTACTTAATTTCGACCTGGGCGAAGGTCTGTCAAGCAATGGGCCCGGAGTTTGAGCCATATCTGCCCGTCGTGATGCCACCTCTGCTGCAAGCAGCGAGCGCTAAAGCTGACGTCTCCATCTACGGTGCGTTGTCTTGTTTGCAATCGTTAGTATGAGGCGAGATGTCTGACCATTTGTAGACGAGGACGAGGATCCAGAAGAAAAGGAGGGCTGGGAGATGGTCAGCATGGATGGACAAATGGTCGGGATTAAAACATCTGGGCTCGAAGAGAAGTGTCAGGCGTTCGAAACCCTCGTGATTTACTGCTCGACGCTAGGTGTGCGATTCGCGCCGTATCTGACGCAGTGTCTCGAGCTTGTGCTCCCGTCTTTGCGCTTCTATTTCCATGAAGGCGTTCGAGAAGCCTGTGCAATGTATGAATTCATTCTGTCCATGGCTTCTTTGTACCTGACGATTGCTTCGTGCATGCTAGGTTGATCCCGATGCTCATGTCGTGTGGAAAGAACAGCGGCACGCTCACAAATCACATGGTCTCCGCCACGTTCTCCCAGGTGGTGAACTGTATCGGAGGCGAGACCGACGCCTCCTTCCTTGCGTCGCTATACAAGTGCTTTAGCGACTGCACGCGAGTGCTCGGCGGGCCCGCTGCTCTACCTGTCGAGATCAGCGACGGAGTCATGGAAGTGACGAAGCGCCAACTGCAGAATCTTGCCGACAAGCGTAAGGCACGCGCAGCGCGGCCAGCATCGGAGCTGGATAACGACAAAGACGATTTGATGTTGATCGAGGAGATGGAGGACTTCGCCCTTGAGGACATGGCCAAGATGCTTATGCCATTTGACGCAAACCACCCGCTGCTGATCGCGATATCGAGTGTACGGGAGCTGGGACTTCATTTGGGTCAGTGGGACAGCGAGGATGAGGGTGGTAATGAGGGGTAATGATCACGCTTCTTCAGGCGGGAGTCATGGGGTGTGCTTTCTTGTCGCTATCGAATGTCTTGTTGATCACTGTAGCCAGGATAGATGTGCTAACGAGGAGGGCCTATCATGTACCCATAACAAATGTTTTAATTGTATCACAACGACACTCTTGGCAAATAAGTCTACAACGATGACCAATGATACATCAAAGTCATTTAAGTTATACCTCGGGTTTGAAACTCCATACAGCGCAGAGTGCAACCGAGCCACGGGTGGCTCCTCACAGTTGGTTCTGCGCCCTTGTATGGAATCGCGGAGCGAAGTGTGGTTCGCTCGGTTCGGTGTCAATGCCCTACAGATTTCGGGCGAACTCAGGGTGACGGCCCGTAGGGCGTCCGTTCCTCGTGCGGCATGGCGCGTCGGTCACCCGATAGTGAGGTGTGTGAAGACGATCGAGGGGAACCGTCGACGCCCCCCCGCCTCCTCTGGTCACAAAGGCCTTGGCGGACGTGCCTAGGCACCGTCGCACCGGCCAGGTATGGGGACGGCGGGGCGTCGTCTACTGCGTCACGCTCGTCCCACAAAGTGAGCAGACATCAGAAAAACGCCAGAACTTGTAGCACCCCGCTAGCGTGTCTATCGGCATATACATTCGCGCCCAGTGTGCACGAAGCTTATCCGAGGAAAGTCCGGGGAGAGCTCTTCACTCTCTGAACTGTCGAGGTCGAGATGACCCGGAGGGCGCGGCGAGGTTGCCTTCACATAAAGGAGTTGCTGAGCAGGGAATAGATACCAAACAGACACGTAACCTCACATACCTTATTAGAACGCCGAATGAGGGCGAAGAGGTCCTCATTCGAGAGGCCGTTCACGACGGGTTGGAGGAAGCTGCACGAGATCACTGTTCCAACCGACGTTCCTGACCTCGAGGCTCTTGACGTCGAACTGAACGTCGATGCTCTTGTCTGGGTCGGGCGGGAGCTCGACGGCCTGCGCGATGACATATGTGTCGGCCTGGATAAGGAGATTGCCATCTGGCGCGGTAGCAAGATTCTCCGTCGGTTCGAATCGAGCGTCGGGTTTGTCGACGGGACTCTAGAGAAATGGGTGGGTTGCTGTGTGGTCCATGGCGGGTCAGTGTGAAAGCTGAGGATGAGAGACAGCGGGCGGGGCACAACCTCTCAGCCCCGCCGCCCATGCCTGGGCCCACCGCCCGACCTGACGTCACGCGTCCTCGCTCTCCGACGCGCCCTCTCTTTGGCAATAACAGTCTGCATTCAACGAAAACAATATACAGCAGAGAAAATAGCAAAACAGCAATGAAGACAGTGCACGGATGTTGGGCGTTGAGTGCATCATCGTCCGCGAGGCCTCGCGGGCTGTCCTATACACAAGTCATTGCTCAGCTTGTAGTCAGCGGAGAACATCAATCAGGACTCAGTACTCAGCAATCAACAGCGCACAGCCGCTCCGTCCGGTCAGACGACCTCTTTTTCCTCATCAACATCAGGCTCCGGAACTCGGAGCCAAGTGGCAGTCTAAACAGAAAGGTGAGTCTAAACAGATTTGTTGATAGAATGGAAGGTATACTGTAGTAGAGACAGCGTCGTCCTCCCAATTGTACTATTGATAGCATGCAAGATATGTCAGACCGATTACTGACACGAGATAACGATATTGCACTTACGCAAGCACGCTGGCGCTGCTTGTAAGGGTGGTAACGACGCTGCTCGCGAGACTCAGCCCGGAATAGCTGTTGGTATCTCACCGTCGAAGAGACGTCTTTAGGCATTTTCAGAGACGTTGTAAGATGGAACGATGCTTACGGGGATGACACCAGCATTCTGTTGCTTTTATACAACTCTGATTTGGACTGCATCAGGGTCGACTGTAGCTTCGCGCGCACTGAGCCCAGGTCACCGCGACACCGCTCGAGATCCACTTTCGCTGCGCGTGCCGCATGTCGGTGGTCCTAAGTCGCGCAGTATCGATTCTGTGAAGACTTGCGCTTGACAGAGCCCAGCCTTGCTCCGAGTTTCGATCGCGCTTGAATGAATGTCTACGTACGGCTCTGTTAAGCGGTGCGTGCTTCAGAAGAAGAAAGCGCTGACACACCTTCAACACGCCATTCTTGAGCATCCATGATGCGGGATGCTGCTTTACGTGATCCCGTCTACCCACGGCGTTCTGTAAGCGTCCCCAGAGTCGACCATATTGAGTTGCAGTCGGCACCTTGTTTATCGATCTCACTATAGGCGATTGTGTCACTGAACGAAACAGCCAGGAAACAGCGTGTACGGGGATATCAGGTGTAACAGTCGCAGTAGTAGGCCTCGTTTGCGCGCTCTAGTTCGGTTCAGTCTTCTCTCGCTTGTATCTGCACCTTGGCTCGTGTCCAACTGGTCATAGCATCCGAGGTTACGTGCATACAAGAGGGTTTCTTGCGTGACGATTCGCCGCAGTGTGATCGTGATCTTCGTGCAAGAGGCTCAGGATCCCAAACACACATTCGTGCACCTAGCTGGCGAGAGAGAATGTCACGCTTACGCGTAGTGCACGGGCGCGCCTCTATCAAGCCGCATGCATAAGAGATGGTCATCGGGGAGCGACAAATAAAGAGCGACGCTGGCAGCCTCGTTGTGTTCAATCGAGCGCTGTCCTCGTAGCTAGCAGACTCGCCTAGGGGTCAGAAGACACAATGTAGTGATGTGACGTACAGATATACAATATCATCACTGGCGCCGTCGAGGGTGCAAAGATTTCATTGTGTCAATGCACGGCTCGGCATGGCACGGATGAGGATCACGAGGTCGAGGACATAACTGTATGAAAGGAAGCGTCCGACAACCGCATGTACGGCCAATTCTTCGAGGATCACAGGATAATTTTGCGGATTGGTGCCGAGCCCAGTACATCGAGATTGGCGAGAATCATAGCAGCGCACTCCGGGACAAAAGGAGAGGCGAATGATTTGAAAATGGGGGGCACGCACTAGATCAGCGGATGTAACAGCCTGGATACGTAGCACCACCGTCGCAGAGTCATTACCTAACTTACTGCATGTACTAAGGATTGGTTACCGGCAGATACTGCGTATGCATCCTGTTGTAGCGCTAGACAGAGAACGTGAAGCAAAACAAAAGTGAAGGCATTGCACCCGCCAGCAGGCCAGACGAATGAGTGACGAAGGACAAGCAGGTGAAAGACCAGGGCTAGGGAGGTGCGGCGTCCGAGTCGACGGACCAGCCACTGCATCTTGTGCCCGATCGTCATCATCGATCGGGCCGCTGGTGTCCCGCAGCGAGTGTTCATCGTTTCCGTCTTCATGCGCGCACTACTGTACTGCCACTCCCGCTTGTATCGCTCTGCTGAATTTTCGACAATCGCTACTCTCTCGTACTCTCGCACCTGCCGCCCGCCTGCATAACGCGTCCAGCAGTCCGCTCACCGTCTCTGTCAATGCACTCAGCCCACTTCAGATAACTCACACGTCGGCGCCCCGCGACCACCCTCGTATCTTGTCGGCACCATTGATCGTCATTGTCGGTCGCTAAAGACATCCTCAAGGTGATGGCACATAGTCCGCTCGTGTCATGCCCTCCTTTAGAGGTGATATTAACTCGATAGCTCATTGAAATAGGCAGGAACGCTGGACAACACTGTTTAAAGCTACCTCATACGTCATTCATGGTTTCTGCACATGGATCACCGCAGCGACAACCGCATGCGTTATTGTCAAGTAAGTGGAGTGTGCTCACTTTTTCGTCCTTCTCCCCGTTGACTGCTACAGCACGCTGCTTTGCTTGCACTACAAGTGATGATCAGCAATCCCCGCGCGTCCTATTCGCCAGACAGCCCATTCCTCAGAGCTCTGTGTTAGGGCAGTGGGATACTGGCAGGGGTCGGTCGGAGGAGGTGTCGTCGATGTCTTGGCACGCTGCCCAGACGGCCGTAGCGGTCACAACAACTCTTGCCCTTCGACGGGTTCGTATCGATGGGCGCAATTTGGAAGGGGCGCTGGGGCGATGCTGCCCTACGCAGTCAGCGCGGTAGACCAGGTCCTGGCATACTTCCGTCCACGCTCTTCAATCTCTTCCACGATCCCAACTACACCCTGTACAACATTAGACTCAAGAAATCCCAATTAGCGACCCTACAGTCAGCGGCCTCGATTTCACGCGCGCCCTCACTCGAGGAGACTGTGCAGGCCGTTCCTCACCCACACGCGTACTTCTGAAAGGAGCACAACGGTTGGGTATGATTCCTCAGGCAGAATTCAAGCGCCCTCCCCAAGCTTGCGTGCAAACTCGACCGCCTTCCCGACCATGATCGTCGCAAGCGCTCCGGCTCATGCGCTGGTCAGGGCGAGCAGCCGTTTGGCCAGGTGAACGCGACACATCACTGCCACCGCTACGAGCGTGCGGTTGACGCTCGTGATATCGATCCGCCCTTTATGCGTGAAGACACTCTGCTGGACCTTTATGTCTGCTGCCAATGTTCGATGTACTGCGTAGTATCAGACCTCATCCCCGGCGTTATCCCACGACAATTGGTCGACGAGTACAGTCACGTCAGGTTGACTCGTCCGCCGACTGAGAAGACATCAACGGCGAGCGTTCTGATAGGCTGGGAAACTTTCATCTTGTAAGTCGCACTGGTTGTGGTCGTACATGGTCTGTCTCACCATGTACAGCATCATTAAGAAGCACTTATGGCAGGACGAGCAGCGCATACTGCCCGTCGCGCGCGTTTGATTCCAGCAAAAGGTCGGCTGGAGCCAGACAGCGCAAGGCATCTCCCTTGCCTTTTTACAATAGCTCTTGACAACTCTACCTTGCCTGCAGCAAGCAGATCTTCGAAGTCTTGGTGCCGGGTACGGAAGAGCCAGGCGTGTGCCCACCTGTTATCGAGCCGTCTATCTCGGAGGGCAAGCAGAACCGGGCACGCCTCTTGCGTGCATGGGTCGAGATGTCCGCATGGCTGACCATATACGCGCTGTCTTCCATCAGTCCAGGGTCTAGCTAACCATTGCCAGAAACCAATGCATACAAGCCGCAAGCATTGAACGTGCACGCACTTGATGCTTACGAGTTTTTGCAAACTCAGATCGGCGCACATGTGTCGCAAGGTAGGTACAGCGCTGTGGTGCTCGAACGTCACTAAGCTCGTGACAGTCCCCCGCAGCCTCACGCTCGTTGGCGTCAATGCGCTCGATTTTGCATGGAAGGAGCTTGGCATGACACCGGCAGCATACTCACAAAGTAAGTGCGTACTGCGCCGTCGCTTCTGCTTCTGATCCATGCGCAGAGACACTTGTATTCGCGTATTTCGCGCAGTGTCGTTGCGATCCTGTGAACACGCCCCACTATTTCACGGCACTATGTCAGATTGCCCAGGCGCTTGGCGATATCGGCGCGGCCGCCCTGGAGCTGCAGCAAATCATCATCAAAGAGACTTGTCATCGTTATGCACCTGAAAAGATCACAGACGCGATCGAGGTGCTCGGTCTCAGCAGGGAACGTGGACCTGATACGGACGTCGATGACCAGGGCATCCTCGAGGCGTGGTGGAGTGCATGGTGCCGCTTAGATGATGCACTCCGAATACTTGCCGACAGGTGTGGAAGCATGCTGCTGTGGAACGCATGGGTTGAAAAGAGCATGACTCTGTAAATGGCAACCGTGTCGGAGTTTGCACTCTGGGCGCGGATTCGACCTGTGCCACTATGACTGCACCACTTTGACATGATCGCGATGCTGGTGCTTTTGAAAGAATAACCGGCCTCGAGGGCGTTGCTCTATGCTGGATAATACATAGCGAGTGGGAACTGTATTCTATCCATGGGCTGTTCAATAGCAAAGAATGGGGTGCGCGGCGAGGTTATCTGGTGTGCCGCAGCGAGTGCTGACCACTGTTGCTCGCGATCGCCTGAGGCCTTGGTGCATACGGCCTACTGCTCTACAACGCGCGCACTACCATCCTGGTGCGACGCTGTTGTTTGTACGGGCATTTGCACGTAAGTACATTTGTGTTGCTCTGTGAATTATCGACAATCGCTGCTCCTGAACCTGCCGCCCCCCTGCACAATGTCTCCAGCAGGCCGCTCACCGTCGTCTCTGTCAATTCACTCAGTCCACTACACATGACGGCACATTTTCCATCCCATATGGCTCAGAGGTGTCATCCGTTTCTTGGCACACTGCCCAAACGACCGTAGCAAACTCAACAACAACTCTCGCCCTTCCACATGCTCGTATCGATGGGCGCGATTCAGACAAGGAGTGCTGGGCTGACACATGAATCCGCTTGACGCTCAATACTGTGTTAGGTTAGGTTAATGGGACTGGGTAGGAAAGACTAGGTAGGGGATTCCACTAGGGAAAACCCTAGGGAAGGCCGTAGGAAAGGCCATAGGGAAGGCTGTAGGAAAGGCCATAGGGAAGGCCGTAGGGAAGGCCGTAGAAAAGGTGTAGGAAAGGCTGTAGGAGAAATCATAAGAAAGGCTGTAGGAAAGGTGTAGGAAAGGCCGTAGGAAAGGCCGCAGGGAAAGCCCTAGGGAGAGTGTACAAAGAGCGAGTGTAGGGAAGACACAGAAAGAGGTGCAAGAAAGAGGGCAAGAAAAGGCCTAGAGGCCGTGCATGTACGTCCCGGACGCATAATGCCAGACTATGGATGGAAAGAGTCGGAGGCGGCTTTCTAACAAGTGTCGTTTGTGAGGGCATGCTTCCCGGACGCACACATTCTGCACTGACCACTACTCTCAACTTACATGAGCCTTGCCCATGAGGTTGTGCTTCCTGGACGCACACATTCTGCGCCGGCCATAACTGTTGACTTACATGAGCCTTACTCGTGAGGGTGTGCGTCCCGGACGCACACCTTCTGCACTGGCCACTACTCTCAACTTGCATGAGCCTTGCCCGTGAGGTTGTGC